AAAAAAAATCAGAATAAAACCAAGTGTAAATAGAGACAATTAGGTAAGCATTTCAGTGGCTCCAGGTTTTCCTGGCTATGTCCCTAACTCAGTAACTTGTTCCGCACCCAACAGATTTGCTTCTACTCTATGATGACAGCAGCAAATTCAGTATATGCTTCTGTGGATTAGGAAGCCTCACTGCATTATGAACCACTTCCAGACCTAACAAAGTTTTGCCATGATCCTTTGAGTCTCTGGAAGTGCAGGCTGTCATTTTCAAACACCAAAGGGTTTTCAAATCTTGCTGTGCTGGCTTCAAAGTGTGACATCAGTTGATTGACTGTGGGCCTGCCAGGGTAGGTGGAGATAAGGATCTGTCTGATCCCACCTTTGAGCTCTAGCAATGCTGGCTGCAATTTTCATAACATTCCCCCTTGCCATTTTTGGCATCCTATCTATCCTAAGGCCCCAATTGTTGCATGCAGTAAGCAAGCAACACACATCTTCGTACATCTTCCACTGAATAGATTGTTCCACTGAATAGATTGAATGACACTTCTGCTGGTTCAAAGTGCACAGTTATTTCTCTTCAGCAAATATAGTTTGGGTTCATGACCTATTTCAGTGCGTGGATAGTGTTTGCTGGTTCAGGGCATATAATTTTATTTCCTTGCCACAAATAGCTGTCACATTACATGCTCCATATGGCCTTTTTATTTCTTATTTATACATTAGATTTCTCACTTTCAACTATTTTGTCTGGTTTATTTTATTCATTTTAGAATTGCAACAAGATTTAACATCATTTGGTTCTAAGGTTTTATTCTGCAGCTTTTAATAATATACTATTTCCAGTTTATTGCCAGATACTTAAAATCTAAAGCTAATTCTACTTCACATGCACACATAATAACTTCAAAAAGTGGACCAGGCTTCTTCAAACCAGAAGAGAGACAACATCAACTTGAGGGAGATGGGAACTGTAGCAGGGTAAAAAGTGACATGATGTTCATTGGATAGAGACAGCCAAATATAGCTGCCATTTATAATACAGAATTCTAAGTAAATAATAACATTTCCCTTCCCCCTTCCATTCCATTAGACCCGGCAGGAATAATACAATGTTGGCAAAGCAGTGACCTCTAGTCATACCAAGGATGATGCAACTTCAAGGTTTGTATTTCTTATCTGACATTTTCATGTCTTTCTTTGGGGCACAGACAAAACACATTAGAGATGAAGACAGATAAGAAAAGACTGAGATTTGCTTATGCTCTCGGAGGTTAGAAAGAAAATATAGACAGAAGATAGATTCCCTGACTTAGTAAACATTTAGAAAACGGGGAAAAGAGAATAAGTGATATCCAATTTAGGTTAGGTTAGGTTTGTTTAATTTAAAAATCACTTCCCACAACAAAAAGTCCCAAAGTGATTTGTAAGAAGAATAAAGTACAGTTAGAAAAAGGTATAGAAATATTAAAAACTAAGGGCTATTACCCCTGCTCACATTGCTTGCCCACCCTTCCTACCCTCCACCCCCCTCCAGCCCCACACACCCTTGCCAACACATTTCCCTTTACAACTCACCCAAACTTCCCAACCACTCATAGCTCCTTCAGTCCCCATCCCCTCCCATTGTGAATCCTCATCCCCTTACAGTTCACCCCAAACACAATATGCCCTTGTCGCTGTCACCACTTGTAGGGGAAATGGAATTGAAGAGGAACAAATGTTTTTATTCCCTTCATGAACTGCTGCTGCTACTGACAAAGGTGGCAACTACAGATGGATCATGAGAAGGTCTGCATGGGCCACCCACCTTACTCAGTTGAGCCTTCCAAAAGAGTGGGGGAAGCCTGAGCCAAAGGCCTTCCTGCAATCCCTGCTACTACTGTTGCCACTATCATTGCTGTGGGTGGGAGTCTTGTTCCCCTTCATCCTCTGCCACCATGCCACTGTCAACAGAAGGAAGCTTCCTGGCTGTTCCTCTGCAGCTCATCTGGGCCACCTGCAGCCAACATCACTTGCCTTCCTGTGCAACCTTCTCACCCTGAGAATGGGCTAGCTGCCTGTTGATGGCCATATGAACTGCAGCATGATTTTGTTTTTCTTATAGTATTTTCTTAGACATAGAGAAAAAATATCCAATTGTTGCTGCTGCCCCAAGGCTCAGGAAAACAAAAATGGCTTTGCCTGGTACCAAAATGAAGGCAAAGTTGGCAACTGGCAGGCCTCCCCGCAGAGAGCATTTATAACTTATAAGAGATCTATAGGGCATAAAAAGGGAGTGATATATACCAGTTTGCTAATTCAAAGGGATGCACAGCCAATTCACAGGACTGTAATAATAATCATGTGATTCTTTCATAACAGGAGATCCTTTGTATGCTTTATTCCTGGAGATGTAAGACTAAATACATAAATAGGGATGGGAACATAAAAGTTTCCCTCTTATGCTGAGGTAGACATAAAGCACTTTATTTATTTATTTATTTATTTATTTATTTATTTATTTATTTTGTTTTGACTACGGCAGACCAACATGCCTACCTACGTGTAACTCAAATACAGAAACAGATGAAATTAAAGAATAATAAGGAAAATGAAAGTTGGGAAATCGCCAGGTCTGGATGGGATTTCGATAAAATATTATAAAAAAATAGAAGAAATAGTTATCCCTAAGCTTAAATAAATCATGAATGATATATTTAAGAAAGGGAAAACCCCAGAATCCTGGCATGAAGCACTAATAACACTCTTACCAAAACAAGGTATGGATCTGAAACTTATCAAGAACTATAGACCAATTTCACTACTAAACATGGATTATAAAATATTTGCAGGTATTCTGGCCAACAGGCTTAAAAAATTCTTAAATAGGGCAATAGGAAATGATGAAGCCAGCTTTTTGCCGGGGAGCAAATAAGAAATAATACAAAGATAATTATTGACTTACTGGAATATACAGAAATGAAACCAATCAAAAAGGTAGCAATGCTATTGGTAGATGCGGAGAAGGCTTTTGACAGCATGTCGTGGAACTTCTTAATTAAAACCTTTGAGAGCTTGAGACTAGGAAACAACATCATGAATGGAATTAAGGCAATTTATGACAACCAGAAAGCCAAAATAATTATAAATAATGAAATCACTGAAGATTTAATATAGAAAGAGGGACTAGACAAGGTTGTCCATTATCCCCACTCTTATTTATTACAACGTTGGAGACTCTGTTAATAGCAATAAGGAAAGACCAGGAAATAAGGGGCATTAATTTAGGTAGCCGATATTACAAGGTGAAGGCATTATTCGCTGATGATGTAATTATTACCACCGAAAACCCAATTGAAGGCACTCAAAAAGCACTAGCAAAAATTAATGAATTTGGCAAGGTCTCAGGATTTAAAATGAATAAAGATAAATCTAAATTACAGTGGTACCTCGAGTTACAGACGCTTCAGGTTACAGACTCCGCTAACCCAGAAATAGTACCTCAGGTTAAGAACTTTGCTTCAGGATGAGAACAGAAATCATGTGGCAGCGGCATGGCAGCAGCGGGAGGCCCCATTAGCTAAAGTGGTACCTCAGGTTAAGAACAGTTTCAGGTTAAGAACGGACCTCCAGAACGAATTAAGTTCTTAACCCAAGGTAAGGTAAAGGTAAAGGGACCCCTGACCATTAGGTCCAGTCGTGACCAACTCTGGGGTTGCGGCACTCATCTCGCTTTATTGGCCGAGGGAGCCGGCGTACAGCTTCCGGGTCATGTGGACAGCATGACTAAGCCGCTTCTGGCGAACCAGAGCAGCACACGTAAACACCGTTTACCTTCCCGCCAGAGTGGTACCTATCTACTTGCACTTTGACATGCTTTTGAACTGCTAGGTTGGCAGGAGCAGGGACCGAGGAACAGGAGCTCACCCCATCACGGGGATTCGAACCGCCGACCTTCTGATCGGCAAGTCCTAGGCTCTGTGGTTTAACCCACAGCGCCACCCGCATCCCCTCGACCCAAGGTACCACTGTATTAACAAAAAATATGAGAGAGAAGGAACAAGAAGACCTAGAAAGAATAATGGGTCTAAAGACCACAAACAAACTAAACTATCTGGGGGTCTGGATTACAAACAAGAACACCAATTATTTAAAGATAATTACATCAAAAATGGAAAGAAATTAAAGGAAATTTTAAAAATTGGGGTAAATTGAAGCTGTCATTATGGGGCAGAATATCAATGATTAAAATGACAGTACTTCCCCAAATCCTCTTTATCTTTCAGCCAATTTCAATAATTATTGGGACAGAATGTTTTAAAGATTGGCAAAGGGACATGGCCAATTTTATTTGGCAGGGCAAAAAAGCAAGAATGAAATTTAAATTGTTGATGGAACCCAGAGAAAGAGTAAGGTTCGCGGTCCTGGACCTCAGAATGTATTTTGAGGCCGCATGCTGGACTGTGGGGGCCAATTCTGGACCCACACATCCTTCCACAGTGGGGACATTGGTTCCCGGGCGGGAGTTGATCACGGTGTGTATTTTCCAAGCGTGCCTTCCTCAGCACGTTTCTCCCTTGTGTTCTGAGTTCGAGTGTCTTCAAAGTCCATGACACCTTTGGTAAAGGCTGTTCTCCAACTGGAGTGCTCACAGGCCAGTGTTCCCCAGTTGTTGGTGTTTATACTACATTTTTTTTAGATTTGCCTTGAGACAGTCTTTAAACCTCTTTTGTTGACCACCAGCATTACGCTTTCCATTTTAAAGTTCGGAATAGAATAGTTGCTTTGGAAGATGATAATCAGGCATCCGCACAACATGACCAGTCCAGCAAAGTTGATGTTGAAGAATCATTGCTTCAACACTAGTGATCTTTGCTTCATCCAGTACATTGATATTAGTTTGCCTGTCTTCCCAAGTGATGTGCAAGATTTTTCGGAGACACCGTTGATGGAATCTTTCGAGAAGTTGGAGATGGTGGTTGTAACATACCTCTTGTTATCATCCGCCTGTTCTGCTGTTGAGGACTTCTTGGATCATTCTTTGTCTAGCTCCTTCCCTTTGACCTTCCCAGCAGGGTCACCCAAGGCAGTAAGGTCGAAGGGAAGGAGCTAGACAAAGAAAGATCCAAGAAATCCACAACAGCAGAACAGGCGGATGATAACAAGCAGTATGTTACAATGGCTGTGGAGACCTAGAGGGCTGGGACAAGGTTTTTGGGTGGCATGGCTACTTATGCCATGATAAAATAAAAGCACATAAAGGCTTCACAAATCTTCTAGTGAGGAAGGCCTTATTCAAAGTTTGGGAGAGGAATAAATCCAAAGTTATAACAAAAACCCCTTGGTGGATATCACTTATAGAGTCAACTGCCATTCATAAGAATAACATGAACAATAACTGGCTAACTTACAGAGACTTGGTGGATGATATAAATCACTGTCCCAAACTGAAAAGGTTTGAAGAACTCAAACAACTAGGGGTAAGTTGGCTAGAATACTACCAGCTTAGGGTGACCTTTGAAAAAGATAAGACCTTAAAAGGGTTTGATGATAAAGCATCGACTTTAGAGAAGGAGGTTTTACAGAACAACCAAAAGACTCTCTCCAAAATGTACAAGCTGTTACAGAATGCTCAAATAGAAAAAGAGGAAAAGGGAAAGGCCATAATAAGATGGGAGCAGGACTCAGGTTATGTAATTGAATATAAAGAGTGGAAAAAACTGTGGACAGCATGTTATTTAATAAGAGAAAACTACCTGAAAATGCACCATAGGTGGTATTTAACACTGGAGAGATTGGCTAAAATGAACAAATGGGTTAGTAATAATTGTTGGAGATGCACAAAGCAGATTGGAACCTTTTACCATATGTGGTGGACATGTCCAGAGATCAGAAAGTTCTGGGACATGATCCATGAAGAAATAAAAAAGTTACTAAGAACTTCACATAGCAAAAGACCAGAAACATATCTTTTAGGAATATTGAATAGTGATATTTCAAAAGAAAATACTAATTTTTTTCGGTATGCAACATCAGCGGCAAGAATCCTGGTGGCTAAGTACTGGAAGGGTAACCAGGTACCGACCAAAGAGGAATGGTTATGTAAACTATGTCAATATTTGGAACTGGCCAAATTGACAGATGTAATAAGGCTAAAGCCAATGAATACAGTCAAGAAGGAATGGAATTGCTTGAATGACTACTTAGAAAGACAAGGTTCTAATGTAAAAATTTGGCTGTCTAGAATGACCTCGTGAATGGAAAAGGGAAAATATACATACAGTATATATTAAGATGAAAATAATACTGAAATACAAATAAAATGTGAAATGTGAAACAAAGTGTTATGAGAGTAATGGAAGTCTATTATTATTATTATTATTATTATTATTATTTAAAATAGTGTTTATTGTATTGAAATATTATACCTTTCTTTATTCTTTTACTGTCTACTTTTTTGCATTTTTATCTTTTTCTTCTTCACTTTTTCTTTCTTTATTATTATTCTTTATGTATGGTCTTGTATTGATGTATTTACTTTGCAATAAATAAATTATAAATAAATAAATAAATAATCTAGTTTGGTTGGCTACCTTGTGAATACTGGAGACAAGGAGAAAAGTCTGCAAGCTTAAACTGGATCATTCTCTGCAAACAAGACTGATTTTATCACTGGCCTAAAGATTAAAGTGCAAGCATTGACTCCCAAATTTCCCAGCATGCATCTTGGCTAAATGTTCTCCTTCGGCATGGTTATTTGACATCTTTAAGAGATCAATTGATTTTAAGATCGTAAACTATTTAGTTGGTTCATTGGGCCCCATGACATTACAGGAGCACATTTCAATATGGGTTATGATATTAACTCAGTATATCAATACATGCTGCTGCTGCTGCATTAGGAAAGGAGGGCCTTGGAGAATGTCATGAATCAGATTAAGAGGAAAGAAAAATGGGAGATGAGCATCCCTAAACCAAATACATAAATAGGGATGGCAACATAAAAGTTTCCCTCTTATGCTGAGGGAGACATAAAGCAAAAATGCACTGTCTAGACATTATTCTGCCTCTGTATATTGATACGACAAATTAAAACTGCTTTTTTGGCTAGGATTTGAAAATAGAAACAAATTATAGGCCTGCAGGAAACATTATAAGAATGACCACTGTGATATCATAGAACAGGCCTGCACAACGGTGACCCACCAGGCCGAAAGTTGACCACTAGTCAAGAAATGTAAGCTCTTAGAAAAAGATCCAAGGTGGGAAGGGGCACATCAAAGAAGACATGTACCGCACCTAGAAAAGGGTTCAAATAAAGTACCAGATCTGCTGCAAGTAAGTATTTATGTCAGAAATGTTGCTTCACAAATTATGTTCACCAGTAAGTCTTTCAGCAGACCACTCGTATTTACGGGACCGCCTCTCCTGGTATGCCCCACAGAGGACCTTAAGGTCCATGAATAATCACAATTTAGAGGTCCTGGGCCCTAAGGAAGTCAGATCTTCCACCAGGGCCAGGGCCTTCTCAGTGATGGCTCCAACCTGGTGGAATGCTCTGTCCCATGAGACCAGGGCCCTGCAGGATTTAACTTCCTTCCACAGGGCCTGTAAGATAGAGCTATTCCACCTGGCTTCCAATTTGAACTTAGCCTGATCTTTTATTCCCCTTCCTTTCCTTCCCCTCCCCTTTTTATGAAGATTACCCGCTCTGGGATCCCACATTCTCTCCTGGTCTCCTTTGCTGGCCCAAATAGGACTAATTTAGCCAGCTAGCCCTGGTGATCATCTAATGTTTATTGGATGGATTTCCCCCCTAAATTGATTTTTGAGTTCTGAATTTATTGTTATTCACATTTTATACTGTATTTTATGCTGTTTTTTTGTTGCATCAATTAAGTGTTTTAAATTTGTTTTTAGCCACCCTGAGTCCGGTTTTTTGAACCGGGAAGGGTGGGGTATAAATAAAAAATTAGTAGTAGTAGTAGTAGTATTGTTCCAGAATGGTTCTACAGTGTAATTATATCTCTGAAGTTGCCAGTTTCTCCTTTCCTCCTCCAGTTTCCTCGAGTAAATCTCAAACCCCAGGGATAGTCAGATCACCCCATGTTGGAATTCTAAGGGAAGACCCTTAACAAGAGTGCACAGGAATATCCTGTCTCAATGTTTTGGGCCTAAGCAGGCTTAAGTCCGGAATGCCTATGTCTCGCTGAAGAGCAGGAGGCTAGGTAAATATTGGTTGTTGATATTCTCTCTCTGGCCATGCCCAGCTTGTCCTACTCAGAGTTGACCAATTGAAAATAATTAACCCAAGTCAGTCATGTTCATCAACTACAATGGTTCTACTCTGAGTAGGACTATTGTTGAATACAACTCATCAGCGGGCAACCAAAATGGCACCAAGAAGTAGTCTGACATGCTATGTTCCTTAGGTCCTTAAATTCCTTAGATTTATATGGGAACTAAATATGTGGGTTGTGCCCTTCAGTTCCTGAACCACTGTATTATAATTCTGATGCTTAATTTCAACCAGGATTCAGCCATGTTCTGCCTGCCAACCAGTTTAAGATAACAAGGGCTCAGATAAATGAAATGAAGCCATGATAACAAGGACAGTGTCTCACAGCATGTGCATAATGAATTTCTATCACTGTGGAGTATGTTTTACTATTAACTTCAACTGCCTGTTTCTGAGTCCTAATACTTGAGAGTAGGTAGCATAACAACTAGGTCAGAAATCATACTTTATAAATTAAGCACAGTTCTGTTCCAGTGTCCATTCTCAACATTTATTGAAGCCAAGGTAATAAATCTATACCCACATGAAGGGGATAATTTTAAAACACCTGATAGATAATCCAAAAGCAAGTGAAAAATATATATCTTATATTTACATAGAGTATATTGAGATAAAAAGTTATGCTGCATAAAATGAGAAGTGGCCAGCTCTCAGGCAGTGGTGGCCTCATGCTTGATCATCGTCCTCTTCTTAATTAGCCCAGTTTATTTCTTCTGCTTCCATCTCCCCTCTGCCACACAATCCACACCTTCTGTAAGATATATCCTATCTCCACAGAGTCACTCTACATCCTGTTAAGTGTGCTCCTATTTTTCTTACTATTTCACTAGGCCTATTTATTTCCTTTCACAGACATCTTCCTCATGCTCCTTATTCCACAGAACTAAAATACTGAAAGGGAGAGTTGTGGGAGAGCACCTGTTTTGCATACAAAGGCCTCCGGTTCAATCCCAGTTAAAAGGATAATATAATAGATAGTGTTAATGATCACAGAGACTCCAGAAAGTCACTTCCAGTCAAAATAGGCAACACTGGACTGTGGGAAAGTAGTTTGACTTGGTAGAAGACAATTTCCTATGGTATCTTGCTGTAACATCTGAAATATGAGGCAGGGTGTGGGGGGCCTGTGGATTGACCAGGGCTCCTTCAGCTGAGGCAAGGAGTCCAGCTTCTGCAAAGCAGAACAAAGAGGGGCTGAGTGGAGAGGTGGTTCATTGTGGTGGCCTCTGCAGTTACCTACTTCTATATGGGTATGATTCTCTCACCTGGATCACATTCACTTGCCTGGATTTGCTGCCCTTATATATGGAGAAGGGTGGGTAGGTGGGAATTATAACTGACTGTGGGCTTTGAAATCATTATTGTTTCTGACACTTTCAAATCTGAAATATGCATCCTGCTCCAGAGTCCTGACTATTTGATGATGGCTTAGTAGAGTTATTGGTTGCCAGTATTAGATGGTGGGGAGCTATTGTTTCTATTGCAATGGGAGGGGGGTAAACACATACAGCAGAAATGGGGTGATAAGGGTAAAGGGAGAGGGATGGTTATGTACCCAAATTTTCCTATGTGATATTAAAATGAGCCAGAGCAGTATAATGAGGCTAGGATCAATGTGAGCCTTTTCACATCCAGGAAACACATTGGGCCAGACACAACTTCTTCAGTCTAACCTATCTTGTGAAGATGAAACAGGGGATCTTGTATCCTACTCTGAGCTCCTTGAGGGAAACATGACATAAAAACATCATGAATAAGTGCTGAAGCTGTGCATGGGATGGATCTACCTTCTGGAAACAGAAAGAATCCTTCCCCTTGAAACAATGCTCTTGAATCAGTGATGGGATCCCAGTGGTGTTTGGAAGAAATAAAAAATTGCCCTCTGCCAGGAGGAGTGTCCCCTGAACTCCATTCAGAGGATGCTCCCACTGGCAGGAACAAAGTCTGGAGCCAGCTCTGCAAGTTCCCTTTCAATGGTATCTTCATATGATGCCGTATAGCTATAGAATTGTCTCTCTCTTTATAATATTCCCTACTTATGTGACTCTCCCCAAGATCCCCCGAAAATGTGATTTAAAAAGCTGCTTTAAAAGAAAACTCAGCTCATTTTACTGTTTCATGGTACAAGGGCTAAATCATGGCTATTGTGCTGGCAAGTCAGGTTGAAGACAGAGATTGCTCATCTGCAGACTGTGATGATACAGAACAGAATATAGAAGGACTGCAATCCTTAAAAAGAAAAAGATGAATGCTGGATTCTCCGGCTTGTCCTCATTGACAGGGCTAGATGGTTTGGTCTCCTTTCCCACTTAGCTGGTGCGTATTTTTAGTTTATTAATATTTACTATCACCTCTTATTGCATCTATGTTAGCTTAATTGTTTTAATATGAAAAGCAATGGTATTTGTTCACTTAATCACCTTTACATATTTCCTTTTTCCATAGTATTAGCGGTAGCCACTTCAGAGATTATGGACTGACGTTCCCTCCCCCTAAAGCACTGCATGAAATTACATGAGTCCTTAATAACATTTAATCAACACATGTAATATTACAGGTGCTATTGTGCTGTGCCCAATATTCTCTCTCTTTTAGAAACACTGTCCAATACAACCCCTGCCCCAAGTTTTGTCACTGCTGAGGTCTCAGTAACCAGTAACCCTTGTAAATTATTGCAGAAGCTGAATGTTTTCTAAGAACAGTACCCAAAAATCAAAGGAGAGTAAAACTGCATAACTAGCTCCATTTCTATTTCATTGTGGTTAATTTGTGAGGTGGAATTATTCAAGCATGCACTGTGGGATTCACAGTAGCTGCGACAAGAAGGGTCTTAAAGTGCTACAGTTCTACATTTACAAGAAGGGTCTTGAAGTGCTACATTTAATCCTATACTTGGTAGTTCATAGAATCATAGAATCATAGAATCATAGAATCATAGAATCATAGAGTTGGAAGAGACCACAAGGGCCATCGAGTCCAACCCCCTGCCAAGCAGGAAACACCATCAGCGACACTCCTGACATATGGTTGTCAAGCCTCTGCTTAAAGACCTCCAAAGAAGGAGACTCCACCACACTCCTTGGCAGCAAATTCCACTGTCGAACAGCTCTTACTGTCAGGAAGTTCTTCCTAATGTTTAGGTGAAATCTTCTTTCTTGTAGTTTGGATCCATTGCTCCGTGTCCGCTTCTCTGGAGCAGCAGAAAATAACCTTTCTCCCTCCTCTATGTGACATTCTTTTATATATTTGAACATGACTATCACATCACCCCTTAACCTCCTCTTCTCCAGGCTAAACATGCCCAGCCCCCTTAGCCGTTCCTCATAAGGCATCGTTTCCAGGCCTTTGACCATTTTGGTTGCCCTCCTCTGCACACGTTCCAGTTTGTCAGTGTCCTTCTTGAACTATGGTGCCCAGAACTGGACACAGTACTCCAGGTGAGGTCTGACCAGAACAGAATACAGTGGCACTATTACTTCCCTTGATCTAGATGCTATACTCCTATTGATGCAGCCCAGAATTGAATTGGCTTTTTAGCTGCCGCGTCACACTGTTGGCTCATGTCAAGTTTGTGGTCAACCAAGACTCCTAGATCCTTTTCACATGTACTGCTCTCAAGCCAGGTGTCACCCATCCTGTATTTGTGCCTCTCATTTTTTTTTGCCCAAGTGCAATACTTTACATTTCTCCCTGTTAAAATTCATCTTGTTTGTTTTGGCCCAGTTCTCTAATCTGTCAAGGTCGTTTTGAAGTGTCATCCTGTCCTCTGGGGTGTTAGCCACCCCTCCCAGTTTGGTGTCATCTGCAAATTTGATCAGGATGCCCTTGAGTCCATCATCCAAGTCGCTGATAAAGATGTTGAATAAGACCGGGCCTGGACTTCCAGGTTAGCGCCTCCGGCAATGGCGGATTTCCTTTGATCGGAAGGAATCCGCTTCGTGAGAATTAGGGTCTGGACCGCCACGGCAAGGCGGAGACCCACCAAAAACCACAGGCGGGAGAAGCCTGTGGACATCGGATTCGGCTGGACCTTTTGCGCCACCCCTACTCGCAGGGAAACCCGGTTTCAGGGATCCGGAGTGACGTGGGGTGAATGGTGCGGTGCTTCAAATCGACTGCTCTTTTCACGGAGTGAAGCCGCATTGCTGTTGCCGGAGAGCGCTGACTTTTTCCTGTGGACAATTGGATTTTAAACAACTGCCTGTGAGTAGAACGGAAAATTGGACTATGAAACTTCTTGATTTGGCACCGAAGCGGGAAGGTCTAAACAGGAAGTCCGCCTTCCGCTTTTGTAAATAGACTGAAGCAAAGACATTGCAAGCTAGAGTCTGGAAAGTCGTCTGTAAAGGACTAAATTTCCATCAGTCAAAATTACTAAACCCCCCTTGGAAGCAGGAGAAGAGGGGGGAAATCTTAGACTGTTTAAACCTGCAGAAGAGAGAGTAAAGAAAGATAAATTTCCACCGTCTTGAACCTGGGAGCGGGGTGTCAGAGACAGACGCTTTGGGGAAGTTCATTGACTGTGGATAAAACGTTTTTGACAGATAGTTAAAAAAGAGAAACATACTGACTCCAATGTTCCCTTTTGCACTTAAAAGGAACAAAATATCTGAAAAACGAAAGGAATTTTGTTGCTAGATCTGCTTTTAAAAAGACGGATACAAACAGAAATTGTTTCCTCTAGCGGGAGCTTGTGAAACTGTTGCTGGAGTCGTTCTGGGGAATTCTACAGCTGTAGAGATTAAAGATCATGAGACCAGACATTGACCTTGAACAAGAATGTGCCCAGAAGAAGCTTTAGTGCTTGCTTTTTGCAAGACAAGCGCTTTACTGGAACAGCTACATGAGAAGATGGATTTGATGACTGTTGCAGTTGGCAATTTTGGACAAACAGTGAATACTTATATAGAAACCACTCAGGAACCAACCCAGGAATGTGCTTTGACAGAGCAAGTTGTGAAGAAGATAAAGGAGGAGGTTGTTGCTGAACCTCAAGTAATAGAAATGGAGAGAGCTGCGGCCTTGCAGGAACATAAGTTGTTGTTTTTGACGACTGAACCTGGAGAAAGTCAGATTTGGAGAGATGGAGTACTGTTTGGTCTGGAGATGGGAAGTTGGATAGATCCCCCTATGCAGGGATGTTTTGACTTTTCGGATCTGGTTTTGGGCCAGGGGGAGTTTGGAGTTGTGGGGGCCCTTAACCTTGGAGGGACTTTGAAACATGCCTTCAAATATCTTTTGGATTTCAGTGCTGACTATGGAGAATGGGCTGACTTGTTGAGAAGGGATAAAGATATTGTCAAGTTGGAGTCTCCCCGAGAGAAAGGAAGGAAATCAAGAATAAGATCAGCAGAAGATAAAGTAAAGTGCAGGTATAAACATGAAGAAGACCTGCAGAAGGGACATGGAAAAGACTTAAGAGCCTCGGATAGAAGGTCACCAGGTTGATGGACTAGATGGAAGGGATAGAAAGGACTGATAAAACCCGAGACCAGGAAGAAGAGACGATGGATGAAGATTGGAAGAAAGTTTTAAAAATTCATTTAGAAAATCATTGTAAAATTAATGAGTATTAGAAAAATGTTGGAATGAAACTATTTGGCTTTAGTAGAAATGTTAAAAGGAATTATGTATAAATAAGTTTTAAGTTTTAAGCTTTAGGGCTTTTCATGGTAAGATAAGGTTAAAATAAATTAAGGTAATTTAATGAAAGAATATAGTGAAAGATGGAAAGGATTTGCTGAGATAATTAATAACTAGAATACAAAAAAGGGAGGTGTGAGGAGGTCGATGAAACAAGTTAATGAAAGATAAATATTTGGGAATATTGGATTTGTTTTTAATTTTTTTGTTTATTTTTGGTTTTGGTTTTGATGTATTGTGTGTTTTGTTTTTCTTTTTTTCTTTTTTCTTTTTATTGACTTGTATTGTTTAATTTCTCTTTTTGTCTACCTTTTTTCCTTTTTTATCTCTCTGTAATTTTAAATTCTCAATAAATATCATTTTTTTAAAAAAATGAATAAGACCAGGCCCAAGACAGAATCCTGTGGCACCCCACTAGTCACTCTTCTCCAGGATGAAGAGGAACCATTGATGAGCACCCTTTGGGTTCGATTAGTCAGCCAGTTACAAATCCACTGAGTGGTAGCATAGCCAAGACCACATTTTACCAACTTCTTTACAAGAATATCATGGGGCACCTTGTCAAATGCCTTGCTGAAATCAAGGTAGGCTACATCCACTGCGTTCCCTTCATCTACCAGGCTTGTAATTCTGTCAAAAACGAGATCAGGTTAGTCTGACATGACTTGTTTTTCAGAAATCCATGCTGACTATTGGTGATCACAGCATTCCTTTCTAGGTGCTCACAGACTGTTTGCTTAATGATCTGCTCCAGAATCTTCCCTGGTATTGATGTCAGACTGACTGGGCGGTAATTATTTGGGTCCTCTCTTTTCTCCTTTTTGAAAATAGGGACAACATTTGCCCTCCTCCAGTCTGCCGGGACTTCGCCTGTTCTCCAGGAATTCTCAAAGATGACTGCCAGTGGTTCTGAGATCACATCTGCCAGTTCTTTTAATACTCTTGGATGCAGTTCATCTGGCCCTGGAGACTTGAATACATCTAAACTAGCCAAGTATTCTTGTACTATCTCCTTAGTTATTCTGGGCTGTGTTTCCTCTGCTGAATCATTTGCTCCAAATTCTTCAGGTCGGGCATTGTTTTCTTTATCGGAGAAGACTGAGGCAAAGAAGGCATTGAGGAGTTCAGCCCTTTCTGTGTCCCCTGTTTGCATTTCACCATCTTCTCCTCTGAGTGACCCCACTGTTTCTTTGTTCTTCCTTTTGCTACGAACATACCCATAAAAGCCTTTTGTGTTGCTTTTAACCTCTCTAGCAAGCCTGAGTTCATTCTGTGCTTTAGCTTTTCTGACTTTGTGTCTACTCGTGCTGGCTATTTGTTTGAATTCCTCTTTGGTGGTTCCCCCCTTTTCCATTTTTTGTACACATCCTTTTTAAATCTTAACTCAGTTATAAGTTCTTTAGATAGCCACCCTGGCTTCTTTAGGCACCTTCCATGTTTCCGTCTCATTGGTATTGCCTGAAGTTGTGCTTTTACTATCTCCCTCTTAACAAACTCCCAGCCATCATGAACTCCCTTTCCTTTTAGTATTACTGTCCATGGGATCTCACCCAGCACTTCCCTAAGTTTTATGAAGTCGGCTTTCTTAAAGTCAAGAAATTGAGTCCTAGTATGCTTGGCTGCTCCTTTCCGCTGTACAGTAAACTTCAGAAGAGCATGATCACTCGCGCCTAATGATCCTTCCACTTCTACCCCACTAACCAGGTCATCAACATTGGTTAGGACCAGATCTAAAATGGCTGTTCCTCTTGTTGCTTCTCCCACTTTCTGGACAATGAAGTTGTCTGCAAGGCCAGTGAGGAATCTGTTTGACCTTATCCTCTTGGCTGAGTTTGACATCCAACAAATAACCGGGTAATTGAAGTCCCCCATTACTACTATCTCCCTTCCTTTTGCATGCTTGGCCATCTGTTCCAGGAAGGCATCATCTATGTCCTCCGTTTGGATTGGGGATCTATAGTAAACTCCCACAATGAGGTCACTGTTATTCTTCTCTCCCTTAATTTTGACCCAAATGCTCTCACTTTGGCTTTGAGGTTCTAAATCTTGGATCTCTTCACAGGTATACACACCCCTGACATATAACGCCACTCCTCCTCCTTTCTTGTCTGGTCTGTTTCTCTGAAACAGATTGTATCTCTCCATTATTACATTCCAATTGTGGGACTTATCCCACCAGGTTTCAGTGATGCCTATTATGTCATATTTAGTTTGCTGTACCAAGAGCTCAAGCTCATCTTGTTTATTTCCCATGCTTTGCGCATTAGTGTACAGACATTGAAGTCCATTAATCATTCCCCGTGTCTCTTATTTAAGGATTTTTCCTCCCACCACTAGGTCTGTGTGCTGTTTGCTCCATTTGGTCTATGACATTTGGATGATCATCTTCATCAATTGATAGACTCCTACCTTCAGGAGCACTGTCTCCCTCCCCACATTAGTCAGTTTAAAGCCCTCCTGATGAGGTTTCTGAGATTTTTGGCAAAAACATTTCTCCCAACCATTGTGAGGTGCAGCCCATCGCTTGCCAGAAGTCCATCTTCAAGAAACTGCAGTCCGTGATCTAAGAATCCAAACCGTTCCTGTTTACACCATTTGCAAAGCCAGCTGTTCACTTCCACTATTTTCCCCTCTCTCCCTGGGCCACGTCGTTCAACTGGGAGGACAGATGAGATGACAATTTGTGCATTTAATTGCTTCACTTTCCTGCCCAGAGCCTCGTAGTCTCTTTTGATCTTCTGGAGGCTATTGCTTGCAGTGTCATTGGTTCCCACATGAACCAAGAGGAAGGGGTATTTGTCAGTGGGTTTTATGATTCCTTGCAGTCGTTCAGTTACATCTTGGATCTTAGCCCCGGGAGACAGCACACTTCCCGAGACATCTTGTCAGGCCCACAGATCACTGCTTCTGTTCCCCTCAGTAGGAAATCCCCTATCACCACTACACGCCTCCTCTTAGGTTTGGTCGGGGTTCTTCCGTGAGCTGTCCGTTCCAAGGTCGCCTGCACATTCCCTGAGGACTGACTTTGCTGCTCGTCTTCATATACCTGATCGACTGTAATGAGGAAGAGATCCTCAAATGGAGTCTGCTCTTCGTCTTCCATGCAAGGGGAGAGGACCTCAAAGCAATTGTGTATTTCTAAACAATCAGAGCGAACCCTGGGCCTCCTACTTCTTTGAGTCACGTTTCTCCATATATCTGGCTCCTGTGTTGGTGAACTAGCCTCCTTCTCAGGGGAGTCCCCTGTCTCCTCCTTGGTGGAGATGGTGTGCTCTGTTGCTTCCAAGAAGAGCTCCAGCTCTCTAATTCTTTGGAGCATAGCTACACGTTCCTCCAGTTGCTGGACTTTGTCTTCTAAGAGGGCAATCAACATGCAATTGCTGCAGGTAAAGCTGCCTGCAACCTTTGGCAAGATGGCAAACATTGCGCAGGAACCGCAGGCGACTGCAGCTGTTCCCCCCCCTCCATCTTGAGAACGTGTCGTTGGGGGTGGCTACAGCGGTCCTCCATCATAAAAAGCGTGAAGACAGGACAAATAACTCCCCCCCCCAAAAAAAACCTAGGTCTCCCCCAACAAACGTTTGAGACTAGCTCCCCTAAATCTAAAAGATGGATCAAACTGTGCACGCCGCTAGGCGCGCGCCGCTGCCCTACAAGCTCTGATAAGCTTCTCCCACAGCTAATTACCTGCCTCAACAGAAACCCTGCCCCCTCTGACCTTTGCACAGGGAGAGCAGCTAATCAGCCACAAAGAAACACACACACAAGAAAACCCTTTTTGCTCCTTCTTTAGCTGCTGCCCTGCAAGCTCTGATAAGCTCCTCCCACAGCTAATCACCTGCCTCAACAGAAACCCTGCCCCCTCTGACCTTTGCACAGGGAGAGCAGCTAATCAGCCACAAAGAAACACACACACACAAAAACCCTTTTTGCTCCTTCTTCAGCTGCTGCCCTGCAAGCTCTGATAAGCTCCTCCCACAGCTAATCACCTGCCTCAACAGAAACCCTGCCCCCTCTGACCTTTGCACAGGGAGAGCAGCTAATCAGCCACAAAGAAACACACACACAAGAAAACCCTTTGTGCTCCTTCTTTAGCTGCTGCCCTGCAAGCTCTGATAAGCTCCTCCCACAGCTAATCACCTGCCTCAACAGAAACCCTGCCCCCTCTGACCTTTGCACAGGGAGAGCAGCTAATCAGCCACAAAGAAACACACACACACACAAAAACCCTTTTTGCTCCTTCTTCAGCTGCTGCCCTGCAAGCTCATGAGTTCATGATGGCTGGGAGTTTGTTAAGAGGGAGATAGTTAGGGAAGAACATCCAGCTATGACCTGTGTGGAAACAACTTCTTCTTCTTCTTCTTCTTCTTCAACAACTATTCCTGAAACCATCAGCGACCCAGCTTGCTTCCTGTCCCAGCGTTATGCAAGTTTCTTTGCCTCACCCATGACTGACCTGGGGCCATAGTAAAATGGATGTTGGGAAAGATTGAGGGCACAAGGAGAAGGGGACGACAGAGAACAAGATGGTTGGACAGTGTTCTCGAAGCTACCAACACGAGTTTGACCAAACTGCGGGAGACAGTGGAAGACAGGAGTGCCTGGCATGCTCTGGTCCATGGGGTCACAAAGAGTCAGACACGACTAACAACAACAACAAATGTGCAGTGTTTGGTGTCAGAGTCAGGTGGATTGTTTTTGTTTGCAGTGTGAGAGGTTGGAGAGCCCAGAGCATGGTTGGTTGTATTCAGTTGATTGCAGTGAGTTTGTTTGTGTGTGAGAGGGGAAGGGAGTTCTTGGGTCAAATTAGCCATATCAATTCATGTGTTGTCAGGAGAGGGGCTTAGGTTGTTGTCTTCTTGGGCTATATATGTCAATCAATCAATCAATCAATCAATCAATCTTTATTACGGTCCAGAGACCCAACAAATCATTACAAATCAATACACAATTCATACAGCCTACCTCCAGGTTAATCAAGCATTTTGTTTAGAATATAGGGCTCATTTGTTCTTGCAACCACCAATAAAAACTTTGCCACTGTTAACATTCTAGCATTTGTCCGGTCTTCCAGTAGGAACCTGACATAGTGAGCCTCTGATTTTCCTGGGAAAGATACCAGCAAGGGTAGTATCAGTTCAGCCCTGGCCTGCTCATATTTTGCACAATACAACAAAATATGCTTTATGGAATCGATGTCTTGAGCACACGAGCAAAGTCTGTCCTGGTAGGGAATTCCTCTCAACCTGCCATCCAACACTGCAGAGGGACAGACATTTAGTCTGGCTTTGGTGAAAAGCCTTCAGTAGTTTGGTACTGTCAGGTTTTTGATGTAAGATGTTAACTTAAAGACATACCCATATTGAATTCCTACTGCCAGCGGACTACAGACTGCGTGTGATCGATATCGCAAGTCACTGTGTGCATTATCCCATAATCTTTGCTTTAAAATCTTTTGGGCGCCTTCATAACCCAGGTAATACAGTTGGGGGGGAGACAGACCAATAGAGGTGGCTTTTTTAGCCATGGTTTTCTGCCATTTGCTGACAAATTCCTCACTGGTCAGGTGTTGGTACAAACCCTTCCCTAGATTAAACACTGAAATCCTGAGCCAATGTTTTGGGGGACCCCCCACCACGCTTTAGTTGAAATTGGGCATTCACCAGCTTCTAACAGAAGTACGGAGTTGGGGACGCAGTTAGGTACCTGCAGCAGAGATCGTAGAAATTTTGCCTGGAAGCCATCTAGCTTTGGCAGGTCCCCATTATGCCAGACATTTGCTGCATACAGGAGTTGGGAAACAGGCTTTGCATTGAAAACCCTTAAGGCTGCTGGAACATATTTGCCACCTTTTGAAGGGAGGTTTGCCAATGCTGCTTCCAAGATCCTGTATGATGGAATGTGAGCCCTAGATAACTGAAGTATTTTACCTGTTCAAGGTTATGGCCATCCAGCACCCATTTAGCCCGGGAGAATCTTCTTTCGAAGACTAAAATTTTAGATTTTTCATAATTAATGGATAAACCATTTCCAGAACAGTAATCAGAAAATTTCTTCAACAGATAATTCAAACCCGGTCTGGAACGTGAGATGATGGCTGCGTCATCAGCATATAACAACAAGGGGGTCCTTCTCATTCCTATTTTTGGAATGTGTCCATCTGGGTCCATTAAGTTCTCTTCTAGGTCATTTAAGAATAGACAAAACAATGTGGGAGCCAAAATACAACCCTGTCTCACCCCCCTAGTCATCTCGATGCTGTTCGATAGCTGTCCCTATCGACCGCATCAGACCTGCAGTTTGGTTCCATTGTACAGGGCTTTTATGAGAAGGAGGAGTCGTTTGTCCTGCAAAATCAGACTTAATTTGGACCATAGCTGGGATCTGGGGATGGAGTCAAACGCTGATTTCAGATCCATGAAGGCCACGAAGAGCTTACCCTGTAGAGGCCTGGTATACTTCTCGGCTAGGAAGGACAGCATTAGACAGTGGTCTGTTGTTGAATGGTTCTCACGAAAAGCTGCCTGGGCTTCAGATAGTATATTGTGTTCATTTAGAAAAGCTGTCAGTTTGCTACTGAGGAAACGGGCATACAGCTTCCCAATTATTGAGAGCAGGCTAATTGGCCTATAATTGGAAGGTACATTTGGGTGGCCTCTCTTAAAGATTGGAACTACTATATGTAATAAAGGGGAGCCACACCGGGCTGAAGTCATCCTTTTTTGTTTGTCCCCATGTTAGTTTCAATTTGTTGGTTACCTTTTCTAGCAGGGCTGTTTCCCATACAGTTTGTTACCAGTGGTCCATGTTCACTCCCCATTTATGGAATTTAACCTTGTAGCAACTCTACTATGTTGAGATTTAAATTATCAATCGAATAGTTGCTCAGGACCATGGACAGCCTCAGCTATGCACCTGTATCATCTCAAAACCATCTCTACAGGAATGCTAATAAAAGTCATAAAAGAAATGAAGCAATAAAATATATGTTTGTGTGCTTTAAATGATGAGCATAGAGTTAGTTTCAGGAACTCCCCAGAGTTTTTTGATTTTTAAAAAACAGTGCAGCTCCTAAATGAGATGATAAATAACACCATCTCCTACCGCATACAAGAAATCCCTAGATTCATGTTTTCAGTGCAGTGGCAGTGTAAGATATGGTGTTACCTAAATGATCAAAAGTTGTTGGGGGATTTTGCCTTCTGAGGGTTTATCAATATGGTGCTCTAGAGTGAATTGCAGGCCCTTAGTGCTCTATTATTTAATGCAATATTTATAGCTGATAATAGCTTGTGTCATTAGCATTACTGTCCTCAGATATTTGCTTCTAATGGACTTTTTTATAATTGCAAGGCATATTGGAATTCACAAGATGGAGATGAGTATTATGACATTCCCCCAAAGTTGGGCTCTTCCCTGTCATTTTACATTGTAAAGTGAGAAGATTTTGCTGACTTTCTGGAGAATTTCCTTCTTTGCTAATTGCCCCCTCAGGAGCAATGTGTCAGCAGCATTCCCCACCAAATCTTGTGTAATGATTAAAAATGGGGAAACCGAGATAGCTGAAGAAAAGGTCACTGTATAATTTCCACTTATTGTAACAAATAGAGCTAATGGAAGTGCTCCATCTTTTGTACATATCTTAGAAACTTTTTTTTTTCACAGACCTAAATATATATATATTTAAAAACCTCTCTTGGAGACTTTCTATTATGGTTGCATTGTGCTTAATGTTCTGTTTATGAGCTATCAGCCATTGATGGTAATGAGGTGTGAGTCTCTGGCTTATGCCCTTTTCTGCCAAGAAATTAACTTTTAAGCAAAGTTTAATTATCCTTTTATTTATAAATGACAGGGGGATATTATTCACTGCCAGTGGGAAAGTGTCTGAAGAGTTCATTGTTACTCTAATGTAAGGCTTATGAAATTTAGCATGTCACACTGTTTGCGTTTTCTTGTAAGAGCGAAACACATTTGTATCCATCTAGTTAAAACTAAAATGTACAATTTGCCACCTCCCCATTTCATAATGCAGCCTTATGCAAGAACACGACCCAGGCACTATCTGTTTCAGCAGAGCTACTTGGGAAGAACAACAACATATTGCCATTTTACAGTTTCTTTATTATAGCTTGTGTAATTAAGTCGTGTTAAATGCATACATTCCCAGTGTTGTAGAAAATGCACAGCTGCTTGTCAAGATAAATCAATAAATCATTTACAGAAAACAACAGCATCCGATAATATTGTAATGCCGCAGAACAGGTGTCTCTGGCACCCCAGCAGCAATTAATCTTGGCTTGGGGGACACTTGATAAAGACATGGAGAATTTTAGCTTCTCTCTTTGAACAAGAAATTCAAACTTTTTTTTTTTTTTTTGCAGCCACCATTGAAGCCTATCAGCAGCTCCAGCCTTGAGTTTCATTTCATGCTATAGAATAGCTTGCACAAACTGATGTTTACACAAAGGCACTGCTTATAACAAGTACAGGACATTTAGGGCGGTGTTCTTCAATTTGCAAATGCATATAGTAATAAGAGAGTCTGGATTCCTGACTAGATCAGAGATGGGAATACTCACTGGAGTCATGGAGACATGGTTTAAATTTCTATTTAAAGCATAGCCCCTGCAGATTTGTCCCTGAATGGTAATTGTATAAAATTAAATGCTCGGAAACTCCACACAGTTAGGCTTGAAAGTAAACAGACTAGCAGCTGGTTTGTAAATCTGGATACAGGGAAAGTCTGCATGAACATGCATATAAATTGTGAATGAACACCTTCCCTGTGTTGTCCTGATTTCCAAATTTTGGCCAACTTGACACTAGTGGATTTTAGCTTATAAAGGACCAAACTGCTTTTTGTTTAGTTCAAATATCTTCAGGGCAGTGGTAGTGACTGGTGCAGTGGACTCACAAAACCACCTTCCTGACACCAGTAAAACAATTAAAAATGTAATGGGGGATTAAATACTAGACAAACTGCTATACAAACAGAGACATTAACTTTTTTTCAAATGTGGCCAGAACTGATGCCACCGTTCCAGCCTTACTTGCATCTTTCCTGGCACACACAATATGAACTCTGTGGCCCAATGGCTAAGGAAAGGAGATGAGGTGACTGGATTTACTTCTTCAATGATATCTCATCCAAATAACCATCAGTGCCACCAAAAACATATTGTAAACCACCTTAGTGCATTCCTAATGCCTGCTTGGTGGTGGTGGTATTTAGAAATTAATATAGGAGATAAAGTGCAATTGTGAGATTCCCTTTACTGACATCATTGTTGGGTTATCCAAGAGGTTTTAATCTTTTCCTTAAAAGAGGGTATTGTTGCAGTAAGTAAGATGACTAATACTTTATTCTCCACAGCTTTGATCCACTGAGTGTAAAGACTTGGATGTTGGGTTGCTTGAGGGTTTTGTTCTTTGAAAATATGTACTGACCTGATATATGCATCCCAACATCGTGTGGGGATCATAATGTACATATCCATCATGTCTTGAAATGCTACAGTGCCATTTTCACCTCAAAATATACACCGAAATACATTTTAAAATGGTCTATTTTGAGATTAAAATGTGTTTAGAAATGTATGTCTCAAGATAAATGATGTTTAGAAATGCACATTTAAAAAGACATGATGTAAAGTATTTAAATGCAGAGTTTCATGCAGATTTATTATTATTATTCCACACATTAATGCAAAAATGGGAAGGAGTAGACTTGTGTGTCAATGCATGAAAAAGTGACAGAAAAGTTTTGTATGGGCGTTGCTGCCTGAGAATAGTATCTAGAGAAGGGCATCTGCTAGCAGAAGAACTTGCACAAGAGAGCTTCCTCTCCCTGCATGCTTTCACCTCCTCCCAATATTCTAAGGAGGCTCAGAACAGGACATGGTAGGCAAGCAGGGAGAAGGAAAAATAGGGAAAGTTCCATTGCCAAGTCAAAAGCCCTTGTGCCAGCAGAACGACTCTGTTGGATACCACCCTAAATATTTTCTTCCTTTTAACTTCTTGGTAAGAGCTTGAATAAGGGAAGTATCATGGCTCAGTGGTATAGCAGCTGCTTTTCATGCAGAAGGTTCTAAATTTAATCCCTAGCATCTCCAGGTAGGGGTGACAAGGACTTCTGCCTAAAACCCTGGAAAGTCATTGAAGACATCCCAAAGCTACATGGACCAGTGTTCTGATACAGAATAAAGCCACCTTCTATGTTCTTTCCTAGTAATGAATATCTTGGAATGTTAAGTTCCTTATGGCAATGTTGTAGAAGTCCAGCCTTAAAAGACCAGATTTTATATGTGTGAAAAATAAAGTTATTTTCTTATCACAGAGAAAGTTTCTTAGAAATGCTTGTGAATGGCAACTCCCCCCCCCCAAAAAAAAACCCAACCTCTGGCTTTTTAAAAAATGTCTTAAGGAACTATGAAAGAAGACGGTAACAAATATAGACAACATCTTTCTTTTCTTTTTTATTATACCTGTAGCAAAACACAAAGGCATATTTTAGTATGGAGGTGACTGGCGTGGGTCCTTTTCCAATTCATTGTGACTTTAAAAAATATTCTGTACTCTGTGTGTCTAAGAACTGCATTACTTTCAGAAATAAGATATCATTCAACTGTGATTGACTTCCTTTTATTATTTGAAATGATTTTCTTTTTATATAGAGAGATTTTATAATGCCATATAACACACACTAAAATGTTGGATTATATAAGGGAGCACCAGCAGGTTAAAACTAATGCAGTGCTAAAATCCACATTTCCTCCTTTAAAATTATTTGCAATGAACAGTTTTCAACAACAGCAACACTGATTCCTCCACCCAAATGTGACCCTTTATGTGATTAGAGGCCTTCTGCGTATTGTGTGGTGTGGCAAAGGGCTCAAATTAGCATTGGTCTTTCTTCTCACTCGTGAGAATTTTTGGATCAAAGCCACTGTAGTCTTCAGTTTCAGGTCTCCACAACCCAAAGAGCTGTCAAACAAAGTTGGATTGGATCTTGTATTCTTTGTTCATAGCTTAGTGTCTGTCAGCTAATCTCTTGCTGCTGAAGTCATGGAGGCAATTGGATCATGTTAGCTAATGAAACCTTTCAGTTTCCCATGGTGTTACTCTTTGAGCCATAACAGTGACAAGCAACTGTTTAGAAAGTGCTCTGATACAACACCTATGGCAGCTGATAGAATACAATGTGATGGTGTTGCAACATGGATGTGCAATACTCTGCAGCAGCAAACTTGTCAGCTAAGTGCCTCTTTGAAATTGAAACACACATCTACCTTCAAATTACAATGATGTGAATGTAACACTTCTCCAGGAAGATCTTCAAAATGCATACATAGAAAACATAGAATGTGAAGTGCCTCAAATACTACCCTTCAAAATATATTGAGAACCTAGCCTTCCTTCAGAAAGAGCAAGTGACATGCATGATTTTATTTCTTTCTCACATGCTCAGCTTAATGTATTGTCTGATGTGGACAAACACCGGCTCCCTCGGCCTGAAAGCGAGATGAGCACTGCAACCCCATAGTCGCCTTTGACTGGACCTAATCATCCAGGGGTCCTTTACCTTACCTTTACCTATTGTCTGATGACAAATCCCAAGGAGAATGAGGCAAGGCTGGTTAGACAGCTCTACATGAACAACATACTCCAAGGTTAGGAGGAGACTGAGGCCTTTGAAGCCTCTGCCACCAGGCTACCTCTTCCAGGCTAAGCCCCCTTGTGGAAAATTTCAGAGCCTAAAAGGTCCAAAACTCTAAAAGGAAGATGGACACTACTTTGTTCCATACCCTTCTCTTGGCACTCTCCCTGCACTGGTGATGCATGGTGGAAGACATCTAGCTCCTGAGGGAAGGGGCCCATGAGGCCCTGAGTGACATTTTGGGAGACTCCAGTCTGACATCCTCAGGTGCATGTGTCACCTGATCCCCAGCAGTCAATTCAGAGTCCTGAACCGGATCTAGCTCCTTAGGTGGTGCCTTCGGAGCCTCTGATTCTGTGTCTCAATTTCTGCTGGATTCAGGGACCACAAGAACTACCACTGTTGACCCAAGCCTATCAATAAATTTCATTGATAAGCGCAGATTTGTTCCAGGATCTCCTGTAGTCAAACCTAAAACTCTAATCCAGCTGCAATACCACTCTGAATCATTTAAAAAACAAAGAAAGATGTTACCAAAAATTGTAATTACTTGGTTCGGACTATCAATTTGGTTAACGAATTCCAAAGCACTTACAAAAGAAGTTTTTCTGTTGTCTCAGGAAAAAATAAATAAAAAGTTAAGAAAAACATAGGCTGCAGGGGATAGCTTGCAGATCCTGTAATAAAAAGCTTCTGCTGAATTGTTTTGGTTGCAAAGACTATCAAGAGGATGGATAGACAAGTTCAGGGGCTATGAAGCTTTTATTTCCCAAGGCCTGAACCCATCACTGGGCTTGTCCACTAGTCCCTAGAAGCCCACTTGGAGGATGTTTGAGCTATGTTTGAACTTGGTTTCCTGGCCTTAGAAGCACAAAATGGGTGATCTTAAAACCATTTCTAACAGTGCAATCAAGATTGCAAGTCAGTTTAGAATTCTAAGGGGGAAAGTGGCTGTTTCTGGAGTCCAAAGAAAATATTTGCAATTAAGAATATAAGAGGAGTTCTGCTAGATCTATCTAATCTGGCATTCTGTTTTTTGCAAAGAACCAAGCAGTAGCACGAATGCAATAAGTTTCTTTGGATGTTAAATCCTCGTTCTCAACATGACTAGCAGCCATTAATAGAATAATCAGCTATGAATTTTTCTAGCCCTTTTTAAAGCCAAATGGTGACCAAGTTCCAAACTGAACTGAGTCGACTTCACCTATCAGCAGTTTGATGCATTTTGATGAATAAGTTTTAACTAACTACCAATTCTTTGGTCTTGTTTCAGTATACTGACTCTATTTTTGCCTTTGTATCAGTAGCAGCTTTCAAGGACCAGCAATATCCATGAATTTCATGGTTTCCATTCCCTTTATAGCTCAAGCAGGTTATAAAGATTGGCAATCTGGCTCCATAATTTGCTGCACTAGAACACGACAGGTGTCAGAAATGCTGAATATTTATGTGTGCTTTAATTGAAGAAGAATCTATGATTCCTATTTAATGCAGTCCTTAGCATTCCATTCACCTAAGTAATCCAAGCTGTTCTGCATACGTTTCTTTTTTTGGTGAATAATCAAGCAATGCAGAAAGTTTGAGGCATCACAGCTGCAAAGCACACACACGTTTTGCTATGTTTTTGTGTGCAAATACAAATGTAAAACTGAATGTTAGCCATTAATTATACTCAGTCAGTTATCAGAACTCATTTAGCTAATGCCTCTATTGAAAAAGTTGGCATCTTTGACTGAAATAATTGATTATAATTCTCTGGTAATTAGCTTATTGCCTGATAATGTGTGCACAATGCAAATGGCTTCCTATTCATGCTCATTCCACCAAAAACGCTAAATATTTATAAATACAAGCTGTCTCTCTTAGAGAAATATTGATAAACAATTTCCAAGTCATGCCTTTGTTCACTCTGTCAGTTAATCATACAAGAAAAGCAAAATATTTTTAGATACAAGCTGTCTCTGTCAGAGAAATGACTTTCATCTGGTGTTCTGACTGTTGCATTCATCAGGGAATCAGAGAAGTGGAGAAGACTCTGAAGAGGCTTTAACAGTCAACACAAGCCCAGAATTCCCCTCACAGAATTTGATTTTTGTAGCTAGGCAACCAGGTGCCTGCTCCACCACACCTTAAAGCATCTTTTGAGTTCAAAGGAAAGAGAGGCATCCTGAAGAGAACAATGGTTGCTCCCTGGCCTGTAGCGGCTCTCTAATTCCTCTGTTTTGTTCAATTTGAGCTGGCATAAGTTTGGAATGCTTCCACGAAGCTTTAGGACCAGATTTAATTGACATCGTATTTGTTTGTTTGTTTTGTAATTTGAAATAACTGCTCGGATGGCCACTCAGTCAGCTGATAATGTCATACCATTGTTCTTTTAACAGAGTGTTCATTTCCTCCAACCCCAGATTCCTGAACAATATTCTGGAATGCATTCTGCTTTCTGAGGGTGGGAAGGGAAAGAAGTAGAAGTAGAAGCAGTAACACACTGTGGGAATTCCATCTTGTGTGAGGAGACTGAGAATAAACAGAGAAGACACAAAATGTATTTTTAAACTAAGGCCACTTTTTAATTACAGCTTATGAAGTGCATATGGGGGGAAATCAATGTGAGGAAAATATTCAAAAATGCTATTAGATTCCTAAGTCTGTCATAATTGGGTGTAATTATCCTTCAGGGAGGAATGGTGGTCTTAATTCCACCTCTCCCCCACATGCCACACCCCTTCAGTGCAGAGGGCAACTTCCTAACTCCCATCCCCAGAAAGGCCCACAACTCTGAGTAACCCAGAAGTGAACCATACATTGATTGCCCCATGAGTCCCACAGCCCTGTGTACAAGTCTCCAGAATCATTGTTGACGTGAAAAGTGCTTTATGGTAATCCCATTCCCCTTCCCACACGTATCTGCCAAGTGACCACAGCAAGTAACATGTTGTTGTTGTTGTTTAGTCGTTTAGTCATGTCCGACTCTTTGTGACCCCATGGACCAGAGCACGCCAGGCACTCAGTTCAGTCACAGTTGATCAGAAAAATATCCTGCTCAGCCCTGTAATGGTGCCTGGCTAGTGCCACACAATATACCATTGCGACAATGCAGGCAGCATGCTCTGCAGGAGCCCTTGTAGAGATGACAGAGTGCTGGGCTTCAGGCCCTTTTAAGCTCTGTACTCATCAGCAGTGGGGTGGATTCTGAGAAGTGCAGTCAGGTTCAGGAGCATAAAAAGTTTGAACAAGGGCTCTTCGAAAAAGAGTAGCTTCCTGATCCCTGTCCAGGGTTCTGAAATACCTACTATTGACTATGCATGTCATTCTGAAATCTCGTCAGTCTACTTCCTGCCTGTCCTTTCCTTCTGCGGCACCCAGCTTGCTGGATTAGTGCTTTCCTGATCTGCCTTTGTTTGTTTGTTTGTTTGTTTGTTTGTTTGTTTCTATACTGCCCTATACCTGAAGGTCTCTGGGTGTTCCCATAAAGGATCACATACATAAAATAAAAATACAAACAACAACCCAATAAAAAACCCCTAAAAAGAGCCAGCATTTTAAAAAGGGTATAGGATGTAGATCAGGTTAGGCAAAGGCTTGGTTATTAAGAAGGTGGGGTTCAATTGAAAAATGGCAGTACACAGGGCTTTAGGAAACACTTTTTTCCCCTCTTGTCATAACGAAAACATTCAGTTGATCAGTTATTTAATTTCTATACTGCTTAATATATTTTTTAAAATACCTCAAAGATGTACAAGCAACAACAGACAACTTAAGCAAAATGTTACAAAAACACACAGTTACATATAAAAATGCTCAATTAATACAAAGTTATTAATATATAAAATCAATATCAATATATTTTCCTTCAGACACACCCTCCCTCTCAGCCTCTGGGGATCAACCAGGGTCCAAACAAACTCAGCTCACCCACAAAAAAGTTTCACAATGAGAAGAGTTTTGAGTCTTTCACTCTAGACTTGCTTTTTTTTTTTTGGAAAATGATATTTATTGAAGTTTCAAAAAAAGGTTACAAAAATAGGAAAAAGAAAAGAAAAAATGGAAAAAATACTAAATACAGAAAAGTAAAAGCATTTAAAAACAAATCAATCTTTCCATGTCTTGTCTCTCATTTACTTGTTTCCCTGACCTCCTCACACCTCCCTTTTTTGTATTCCAATCCAGTTAGCTAATTCAGCAAATCCTTTCCCTCTTTGTTTTTATCCTAATCCTTTAACTTAATATATTGTAACTTTAGATTCTCACCTGTTAACAATCCATTTTTACATACTCCTTTGTAATATTGCTGCTAAAACCACATAACTTCATTCTGACATCGTTCTAACATTCATTAATTTTACAGTATTTCTGTAGATAGTCTTTAAATTTCTTCCAATCTTCTTCCACCAACTCTTCTCCCTGGTCTCGGATTCTGCCAGTCATTTCCGCCAATTCCATATAGTCCATCACCTTCATCTGCCATTCTTCCAGGGTGGGTAGATCTTGTGTCTTCCAATACTTTGCAATAAGTATTCTTGCTGCTGTTGTAGCATACATAAAAAAAGTTCTATCCTTCTTTGGCACCAATTGGCCAACCATGCCCAGGAGAAAGGCCTCTGGTTTCTTCAGGAAGGTATATTTAAATACCTTTTTCATTTCATTATAGATCATCTCCCAGAAAGCCTTAATCCTTGGGCACGTCCACCAAAGGTGAAAGAATGTGCCTTCAGTTTCTTTACATTTCCAACATTTATTATCGGGCAAATTATAGATTTTTGCAAGCTTGACTGGTGTCATGTACCACCTGTATATCATTTTCATAATATTCTCTCTTAAGGCATTACATGCCGTAAACTTCATACCTGTGGTCCATAACTGTTCCCAGTCAGCCATCATTATGTTATGTCCAACATCTTGTGCCCATTTAATCATAGCAGATTTCACCGTTTCATCCTGAGTATTCCATTTCAACAGCAAGTTATACATCTTTGACAAAATCTTGGTTTTGGGTTCTAACAGTTCTGTTTCCAATTTTGATTTTTCCACCTGGAAGCCAATTTTCTTGTCCAAATTATATGCCTCCATTATCTGATAATAATGAAGCCAATCTCGCACTTTATTTTTTAGTTTTTCAAAACTCTGCAATTTCAATCTGTCTCCCTCTTGTTCCAAAATTTCCCACTATTTCGGCCATTTGGCCTCCATATTGAGCTTTTTCTAAGCTTTCGCTTCCATCGGTGACAACCACCTTGGGGTTTTATTTTCAAGTAGGTCCTTGTATCTTATCCAGACATTAAACAAGGCTTTCCTGACAATATGATTTTTAAATGCTTTATGTGCTTTGACCTTGTCATACCTTAAATATGCATGCCATCCAAATACATTATTAAAACCTTCTAAATCTGAAATGTCTGTGTTTTCAAGAAGTAGCCACTCTTTCAGCCAGCAAAAAGCTGCTGATTCATAATAAAGTTTAAGGTCTGGCAGGGCAAATCCACCTCTTTCCTTTGCGTCCGTTAGTATTTTAAATTTTATTCTAGGCTTCTTGCCCTGCCAGACAAATCTAGAAATATCTCTCTGCCACTTCTTGAAACAATCCATTTTGTCCAAAACTTGCAATGTTTGAAACAAGAACAACATTCTAGGCAATACATTCATTTTTATCGCAGCAATACGGCCTAGCAGTGAAAGCTTCAAATTTGACCAAATTTCTAAATCTTTTTTCACTTCAGTCCAGCATTTTTCATAATTGTCTTTAAATAAGTTCCCATTTTTAGCTGTCATGTTAATCCCCAGGTATTTCACTTTCTTAACCACTGTTAAACCTGTCTCATTCTGAAACCTCTCTCTCTCAATCACTGTTAAATTTTTCTCTAAAACCTTTGTTTTTAACTTATTCAGTTTAAATCCTGCAACCTGACTAAATTCTTGAATCAGTTCCAAAACTCTTTTGGTACTAGATTCTGGCTCCTGTAATGTCAATACTAAGTCATCTGCAAATGCTCTCAATTTGTACTGTTTAGCTCCGACTTGTATACCTTTAACCAACTGGTCCCTTCTAATCATATTCAACAGGGCCTCCAGGACCGATATAAAGAGCAATGGGGAGACTGGGAAACCTTGTCGTGTCCCTTTTTCTATCTTAAATTCCTCCATCACCACGTTGTTAACAATTAATTTAGCCTTTTGTTCTGAATAAATTGCACTTATACCGTTTCCAAAGCCTTGACCTACCCCCATCCCCTGTAGATTCTTCTTCATAAAACTCCAAGAAATGTTGTCAAAAGCTTTCTCCGCGTCACTCTAGACTTGCTTTTTATGTGCAGGCTCAAGGGGGGTGGTACTTCCTAAGGCTGCCCACAGTTGTGTCCCATGCAGCTTCACTCTCCACAGAGTTTCAGGTACAGCTTATTTGTTGAGTTTCCCGGGGGTATCAGAGGATGGGAAAATGTCTCCCCTCCACTCAACCTAAGTGTTGTCAATCATCCTTTTTCTGTTTTTCATGCTGAAACACTTATCACATATAATTCACATTAGAACTGAGAGCTCATTGGTGGACTTCTTTAGAATGTTGTGATATCATTTTAATATTATTTCAACGATGTACAGTAATAACTCATCTTTTATACTTAACCCTTGAAGTCACCCCATGGCTAGTGGGTAAGTGGGATAGAAAGAGCATCCCTGGCCTTATAAAGTCACGTGGGTGGGCCTTGACCAGCAAGCAGGGCAGAGAGTCCATGGGTTATCCAGCTCAGAAAGAACTGTTAAGCTCTCCACCTTTTTTGCTGGGCAAGACTATGTGCTGCACCAGCTCTGGAAGGCTATAGATGCTTGTGTGAGATCTCATGGGAACTTGGATTGTCCCTTGAGATGTCACAAGAAGCTTCCAGAGCTGGAATGCTAAGTAGGCCTTCCCCAGAAACCAAGGTGGAGAGCTTCAAAGCTCTTTTTGTGCCAGGTAACCCCAAGCTGACCCAGTCCAAAATGAGCTTTTAAGCTTTCTGCCTTGCTTGGGACTTGACTGGCACAATTTCAGTCATAAATGGTTGGAATCGTGAAAGTCAAATGCATGCAGGATGAAGGATTACTATACTGTATGTGCTGTTTAGCACTGAAGTCTCCAAGGGGTGTACATGTCAAAAAGATATAATATAGATAAAATCATTAAAATTAACCATAAAATTACTTAACATGCCTCTAAATAAAAATAAAAAATGTGTTCACCAGGTGCTGGAACTTAGCAGGGAAGAGGCCTGTCTGATCTCAGCTGAGAGGCAGTCCCACAGAATTGCGCCTACAATATTTTTATTAACAAAAGGAGCCTTCAATTTGGTGATCATTGCAGAGGATGCAAGAAATGTTTTGAGTCCTGGAGTAACTTCTGATTAGTCGGATCAACTTTGTGGCAAGGGGAGATTAAAAGTATTGTGTTACTTAACATTCTTTATTTTCCACTAGGGATACCCACATTTATTTATTTATTTTACTAAGTAATAAACCACTTCAGGTCTTATAGACATTAAAGACGTATACAAGAAGATAAAAAAACGAAATGAAATAAAAGGTTCTACAAACAATTAAAACCATTTCTACAAACTCTCAAAACATAACCATTCCAACAAGTTCTAAAATCAATAAAACTGTTTCTACACTGTTTCTTAAATGACTGGGCCACAGCTCAGGGAAAGCCTTCTTAAACAGAAATGTCTTCAGTGGGTACCTAAGCATTGTGATTCTAAATGCCTGTCTAATTTCAGCTAGTAATTGATTTGAGAAGGCTGGAGCAGCAGTACTAAAAGCCTGGTTTCTTGTACAAACGAAGCACATCTCTGGGACATCTGGTACTCTCAGCAGTGAGAGCACTGTTGAACACAGTTGACAGGCAGGGATATATAAGGCAAGGTGTTCGCTTCAGTAACCTGGTCCAAAGTTGTTTGGGGATCTGTCTAAATCTGATTGGCTACATAGCATTGTTTTCCCTCCTTGGGTGACATCATTCTGAAAGAGAAGAAACACTGGCGAAGGGGGAGGACCTGAAGCAGAAAGGAGAATGTGAGCAAACAGTGGCTGTGAACAGTCAATGAATGTGAGTTAAGGACTTCAGAGTGGGTGGGAGGGGGAGATAATTTCCACCACAATTACTACTTTTGAGGTGGATAATATTCAGTGTATTACCACCAACATTGCTTCCTTGAGGGGATGCTAACCTGAGTGACTAATTCATTTTATTATTGGAGTGATGTTCTATTTATTCTTCCTATTCTTTTATTTTTGGGGGTGGGGAGCCTACTACATCCACAGGTGCAGGTGTTTGAATTCCTATTGCTTTTTTTGAATACCATTTGTTTCATTTTGGAATCTAATTTCATGCAGTAATAATATAAGACTGGGTGGGCGGTTCCCCTCCCCCATTCCACTGTTTTATTGCACTTACACAAATGATCGCAGAAATCATTTCTAATGGATTCAAAAGCAGCAGTGCCATTTTAATATTAGTCGCTTGAGGAAAAGCAATGAAAAGAAAGCCAGCTCGATAACATGAAATAGGGTTATATAAAATTGCTCAAATTGTTGTATGAAATATTCAGCACATTTCCAAAATTTGCAATGGCAAAGTGTTTAGTATCAATTCTTCAATTGTTAACTTCTTTTTGTCATCTTTGGCAGATTTCAATCTATAAAATGTTAGGATCAGACTCTGGTTGATTGCTAGCTGCTAAACATTTTGGCTCCTAAAACTTGGATGTATGATTTGTGTATCAAATTTGACGAGTTTAGGACTATCAATAAGTTTGATTTGCTAATGTCTGCATAATAAACCTAAATAACAGGGTTAATTTGCCCTTTGAGGGAAAAGGTATCTTCATTATATTTATTCATTTGATATCTCACCCTTCTTTCCAACAAAGCTCAGAATGTATGATCCTCTGTATTGTATTGGAATGCAGAGATCCATGCAAAAGCGCAAGAGGTGCTGATACAGAATATCTCTGGTTGACTTCTTTAATGTCCATTCTGCAGTGATTTCCATGTCTCAGTGACCCAATTTCCTATAGCACATTCTAAACTTTTCTATAACTTAGTAAGCTTTATTCCCAGTTCATTTTTTTCAGCTGCGGGCAGAATTGGTCATGATTGTAGTGCTACTTGGGGCTGAATATTCAAGCCAGGACATACCATATTTTTCTGTGTATAACACCCCCCCCCCTTTTATAAGATGTTCCCTATTTTGGGGGACTCAAAATTAAGAAAATTCACTATGCACTGTGTATAAGATGACCCCTTATTTTAAACTTCAGAAATTTAGGAAAAAATATAGTCTTATACACCAAAAAATATGGTAGTTTTGTTGCCTGTTTGTGATGTGTTACAAAATTCAAGCACTTCTCTCCATCTGTCAGGCACTGCATCAGTTTTCCATATGGTTTTTACAACAGCAGCAAGAATACTTATCGCAAAGTATTGGGAGACACAAGAGTTACCCACACTGGAGGAATGGCAGATGAAAATGATGGACTACATGGAATTGGCGGAAATGACTGGCAGAATCCGTGACCAGGGAGAAGAGTCGGTGGAAGAAGATTGGAAGAAATTCAAAGATTATTTACAGAAACATTGCAAAATTAATGAATGTTAGAATGATGTTGGATTGACGTTAAATGGCTTCTAGCTGTATAGGTTTTAAAGCTATAAATATATTAAGATTAAGGATTAGGATTAAAAAAGTTAAAAGAATGGGAAAATTGGTTTCAAATAGGTAAAAATCTAACGTCATAATATATTAAGATTAAGGATTGGGATTAAAAAGGAGGGAAAGAAATTGCTGAATTAACAACCGGAATTGGAATACAAAAGAGGGAGGTATGAGGAAGTGCGGGAAACAAGTAAATGTAAAAGAAGTTATGAAAAGACGGAATTATTTTTAACTGTTTTTTTTCTTCTTTTTTTCTTTTTGTATTTTGTATTTTGTATTTTCTATTGTGTATTTTTCTTTTTTCTTTTCAAATTTCTCTTGTTTATTAATGTGATTTTATTTTTTCTGAAACTTTAATAAATATTAATTTTTTTAAAAAAAGTTTTCCATATGGTTTTACCCTGAGTGCTTATTTTGAGGTATTTGCTCAAGAAGGTAAGAGGAGGTACCATAGGATGATTAATCCCATGACAGCTGAATATAGTTGCACACATAGTTGTAAAATGCTTTGGGGGTTTTTAGTTTAAAAATTCTCAAGCAGAGTAAAAAATTATGAAATAAAAAAAATAAATGAATAAACATGCAGGACAATGACTACAGGTTTTTGGTTACATCTAATGTTGGTCTTGCTCAGAGTGCTCCCATTAAAAATAATGAACATGTCTACCTTAGGTCCATCATTTTTAATGGAACTACCCTGCATGTAACTCAGTTGAATAAAACTCTTTCATGCATAATTGGTCCAAACAGATGAACAGTGAAGAAACAGGTGGCAATCCACATTGATACAAACACACACACACAGCTAGAGGGATCCCAAATTATAGTCAAAAAGCTTTCCCCCCTGTTTTTGTACCACATTTTAATAAAAAAAATCATCAAAGGTTTTTTTTAATTAAAATGGCAATGTAAACAAACAAACAAAAAAGCATGCCACATATAGTGGAATCCAACAAATCAACAGTTAAATTAAGTTACACTGTATACCTGCATATACAGAATAGAATACCAGATTAGGTTCCTGATTCTCATATTGAAAATTATTTGTTCTGCATCTTAACCGTCCCCTATTTTGGAGCAGCTTGCACATGGATACGCATGATGTTTCATCAAAGGAGTGAGTCAGCTGAGCACTTTTGTATTAAAAGTCTGCTTTAGATGAGAGCTATCAATACATAAAGTAATTGCAGGCTCCAGAGAAAATCAAAATGCAAAGTAATGAAGTTAAGAAGGAGAACTGAAAAGATGAAGAACAGATCATCACAGGCACAGCAGTCTTCGGTCAGCTCAGTTTGGGTCCCTTGTCCTGATGTTATCTATCAAATCAGCAGTAATGGGGCATAAATTGTCCTGACCTGAAAAAACACATGCCTACATTGTTACTGCAGAGATGAACTCACCAGTCCCATCTTTTTTCTTTTGAAAGTGGTGTGCATAACTGTTGCCACCTGGAGAAAATATTGCCCTATTTTGGTGTATAAAGAAAACTAAAACTGTTACTGAAATGCAAAGTAATGCTAAGTAACCAAAGTGGCCTTCTGAGTGTTTTACTTGACATTTCCTTTGTTTTGCAGCATAACACATTTCCCATGCCAGCTCAGTCTTTCCTTGCCCCTGAAATGCCCTGTTTTTGGACTTTTTTTGGGGGGGATACCATTGGTGGAGGTTCCCATGGATGGTACTTCAGCTTGCTCACCCATTCAGCAGGTGGAACTGGGAACTCCTCTCCAGCAAAGTAATGAAGGTGGCACCAGAGGAAGACTTGGGTTTTTCAAATTTCAGCAGTGCCCTATACAAGGCCAAAAGTTGGTGCCTGTCCGTCCCCTGTCCCTCCACCTCCTCTTGCCTTCCATCCTGCTCAGTTGACTACATCATAGTTGCAATATCCTGCAGTGTCCCTTAGGCTCAGTGCCCAGTGTGGCAGAACCAGTCTCACTGTTCCAAATGATCTGGTGTCATGCCATAGGCAGAGGTCAACTGGGTGGAAGAACACCTCTACACACAATACTCTCCAAGTGCAAAGGGAATTTGGAGTGCAACCTAAAATAACTTATCACTATCAAAGTTTGTTTCTTCCGTGGTACCCAAAAGATTATTTGCTGTATTGTAGCATGATGATGATGGTAATAATAATAATAATAATAATAATAATAATAATAATAAACAGATATGAGTTTGCTAAGTAACCTAGCAGGGGCAGTAGGTTAGTAAGAGTGGCTGCTGGCTAACACAATAACGTATATTCAGCTACTAAATCCCTCAGGCTGCAAAGGAAGAAACTGGTGGCTTAGACAGGCGTAGGCAAACTCGGCCCTCCAGATGTTTTGGGACTACAACTCCCATCATCCCTGACCACTGGTCCTGCTAGCTAGGGATGATGGGAGTTGTAGTCCCAAAACATCTGGAGGGCCGAGTTTGACTATGCCTGGCTTAGAACTTTGGAAAAGAGCACTTAGCTGCTTATTTTTTTCAGAATAGCTTCAAAGTAGGTCATGTCTTGGGTAATCAGAACTTGGAAGCTCAGCAGCAGTACGCCCAGAGATTCCCAGCCATATTTATAATTTATATTTACAAATTTATATGCCACTTTGGCATATAAAAAGTAGAGACATCACCTTGCCAACAAAGGTCCGTATTGTAAAAGCTATGGTTTTCCCAGTAGTGATGTATGGAAGTGAGAGCTGGACCATAAAGAAGGCTGATCGCCGAAGAATTGATGCTTTTGAATTATGGTGCTGGAGGAGACTCTTGAGAGTCCCATGGACTGCAAGAAGATCAAACCTATCCATTCTTAAGGAAATCAACCCTGAGTGCTCACTGGAAGGACAGATCCTGAAGCTGAGGCTCCAATACTTTGGCCACCTCATGAGAAGAGAAGACTCCCTGGAAAAGACCCTGGTGCTGGGAAAGATGGAGGGCACAAGGAGAAGGGGACGACAGAGGACGAGATGGTTGGATAGTGTTCTCGAAGCTACCAGCATGAGTTTGACCAAACTGCGGGAGGCAGTGGAAGACAGAAGTGCCTGGCGTGCTCTGGTCCATGGGGTCACGAAGAGTCGGACACGACTAAACGACTAAACAACAACAACAAAATGCCACTTTGATCTATTCTATTTCAATTTGTAATAGATCTTTGAACCAGAAACGGTATATCCACCAAACAAAGCACATAAAGGTCACATTAAAATCACAAACATTAAAACAATAGGTTTATTATGGTCACAGCCAGACTAATAAAAGAATGATTCACACAGAGCAATTCATGTAAGAAGAAAACTTAAGATTCGCTTGGGAGGCAACTGAAGAATTACATTATTAATGAATGCTGCATTGCCTTTTAAGGCTTACAAGTTACTTACAAAATCCTGCCTTATGTAAAACTTGAAAAAGCATCACTCACATCCTGATACAGGCTGGTGGGGGAGAACAGCAATCCTGCTCTGGGTATAGAAAGGACTTGTTTCGAGACTTCCGGGGTGGCGCCATCGGCAATGGCGGACTCCCTCTGAACTGGAGGGACTAGCTCCGCGTGAAACGGGTCTTCTCCGCTACGGCGAAGCGGGGACCCTTTTAAAAATCACAGACGGATGAAGCCTGTGACCATGGGACTCGGCGGGCACCATTAGCACCCCCTCCAACTCGCAAAGGAACCCATTAACGGGCTCTGAAGTGAAGAGGGGGAAGTGGCGCGGTGCTGTGAGTTAACTGCTATTTCCGTGGAGTGAAGCCGCATAGCCGTTGCCGGAGAGCGCTGCCTTTTTCCTGGGACAATTTGGACTCTAAAATAAGCACCCGTGAGTACTTAAACTTTGAACAACTGGACCTTAAATAAGGACTTGCGAGCAGAAAGGAATTGGATTTAAAAATTTATTTTCAATTTGGTACTGAACGGGAAGGTCTAAACAGGAAGTCAGCTTTCCGTTCTTTTGTAGACAGAATAAAGCAAAGACAACGTAAACTAGAGCCTAGAAAATCGCCTTTAAAGGATTGGATTTCATCATTTAAAATTGTGGAACCCCCCTTCGACAGCAGGAGAAGAAGGGGGATCTTTTTCGGACTGTTTAAAGTGAGTTTAAAGTAAAGTAACTTTCCACCGTCCTGACCCTGGAGCGGGGTGTCAGGACTGACGTTTGAAGCACATTGACCAGAGACAAACGTTTTTGACAGATAGCTAAAGAAGAGAAACATAGTGATTCCACTGTTTCCTTTCGCATTTTAAAGGAACAAATATTGACAAAATATCTCAAAAAGGAAAACTTTGTTGCAAGAACAAATAGAAGTTTCCCCCTAGAGGGAGACTGTGAAACTGTAACTAATTCCAGGGAGCCGGCAGCTGTTACAGATTACAATCGTGGGAATAGACATTTGACCTTGCAGGACAATGTATTCAGAAGCTCTGTTGTGTGCTTTATATAAAACAAATGCCCTACTGGAACAGCTACATGAGAAGATGAATTTGATGGCGTCTTCGACTAGAAATTTTGAACAGGCAGTGGGAAATTTTGAACAGACAGTGGGAAAATATGTGGAGCCCACCCAGGAATTAAATCAGGAGTGCGTCCTGACAGAACAGGCCCAGCAGGAATATGAGTTTTCGGATTTGACAAATGAACTTGGAAAAAGTCAGATTTGGAAAGAAAAAGTTTGGTTTGGCTTGGAAATGGGGGGCTGGATTGACCCCCCTATGCTGGGATGTTTGGACTTTTCAAATCTGGCAATGGGCCGTGAGATGTTTGGGATTGTGGGGGCTCTTAATTTTGGAGGGTTTTTGAAACATGTTTTTAAACATCACATGGAATTTAGTGTTGAATATGGAAAAGGGGCTGATCTGTCGAGAAGGGTCAAAAATATTGCCAAGCTGGAGTTACCACGAGCAGGAGACAAGGGAAAATACAGTTACAAATATGAAGAAGAGCTGCGGAAGGGACATGGAAGAGACTTGAGGGCCTCGGATATAAGGTTGCCAGGTTAATGCGCTAGATCAATGGGATAATAAGGACTGACAAAACCCGGGACCAGGAGGAAGGGACGCTGGATGAAGATTGGATCTGTTTGTATTTCTTTTTTTCTTTTTTTTACTATTAGGACTGTTTTATAAAATTGATGAATGTTAAAAAACATGTTGGAATGAAACTACTCGGCTTTAGCAAAGATGCTTAAAGAATTATGAAAGAATATTATGGTTATGAGAAGTTGGTAAGGATAAGACTTAAGCTTTAAGTTTCAAGGTTTTTTATATAAAAAGATAAGATTAAAACAGTTTAAGGTAATGTAACGACAGAATATTATGAAATATGGAAAGGATTTGCTGGGATAATTAATAACTAGGATACAAAGAAAGGGAGGAGGAGGAGGTCAAAGAAAGAAGGTAATGACAGTTGAGGATCTGAGAATAATGAATTTGTTTTTAAATGTTTTTAAATGTTTGTCGTGTATTTTTGTTTTTTTCGGGGTTTTTTTTCCTTCTTATTTTGAATTTGTATTCGTATTGTTGGAAGTGGTTTGTTTCTCTCTTTGTTTACTTTGTTAACCATTTTTATTTTGCATTTTCTTCTTTCTTTATTTTTATTTTGTAACATTTTGAAAATCTCAATAAATATCTTATTAAAAAAAATAGAAAGGACTTGTTTCACCACTGTTCCCATATTTGGGCTTTTATGCAAGTGGTTGGACAATCAGGGCAAGCTGTGCATACTTAAATTGTAAGCCCAAATAATCAACATGGTACCCTCCAGATGTTAGTGGACTACAATTCCCATCAGTCCCACCAAAGGCAAAGTGTGATGGGAGTTGCAGTCCAGCTACATCTCCTTGAAGACACCTCTTTGGCTTACTGTGATATAAACAATTTATAAATCAAAACATATCTCTTCCAGCAATTAGGATTAGGGGTTGAGAGGATATTTCAAAATGTACAATCCAAATATGAAGAAGACAATAAGAATTCATTTTCAATTTGGCTGACGACTCAGGAATTGAATATAGCTTCTCTTTCTCTGGAAGCAATATTGGCAGTAATAAAGATTTGTTACTCAGTTTCCACACAAAGAAGAGACACTTGCACTAACAATGTGCTATTTTTAGAACCATTTTCCAAAGCCATCCTTTACCTGACCCCATTTTAATTGGTACTTTTGTGATACAGTTCAATAATCCCCTCCCCATACTGCTGTACTTCGAGGGTAATATGTGGAAACTGTCAGCCCTCTTTGTGTGATTTCCTTTCTCTCTTTATGCAAAGAGGGGGTTTTATTTTAAAAGATTTCCTTTCTTCATATGCAAACTTACTCTGCCCTGCTATGACTATGTGAAAAGCAATCTCATTGTGAGGGGAGGGGCATGATTTTGTGAAGGGGGGAAGACTCTTCTGTCAAACTTTATGAGAAAATGGGAAGTAAAAATGTTTTAAGCAGGTAAAAAGTTTAATTAAGACATGATTCCATTGCACAAATAATCAAATTTTCTGTGAAAGTGAAGCTGCAAGCAACTAGTCTAAATGTGTGAATTTATTCTAGTGGAAATGCTTGCCTAGATGTAGAAAAGAAGATGAGAATATACTTATCTGTCTCAAAATAAATTTATGCCTTGTTTGCATCCAGAATTATAGTGGTTATGCAGACATTTTAGTTCTTGTCTCTCCCCTCTCCCACTTCCAGGCAATTCGTGTGTGTGTGTGTGTGTGTGTGTGTGTGTGTACCATAACAATAAATGCAATTAAGAGAAAACTGAAGTAAAACTAGTCATTATTATTATCAGGATAATTGTACAATTTATGATAAATTCACACATGAAAGATTCTTTCCTAAGACTGACACCTTCAAGACAAGAAATCTATCTAGAACAATGCGTCAGCTGAAAGTCTATAATTCTAATGACTCTCCCTGCATTCCTAGCCCACTTCAACCTCAGATGTTGTTCTGGATTTGGTTGTTGCGTTAACTGTTACTTTGGGAGTATGATTCCAGGACTGTCTTGATGATTGTCTTGATGATTCCCCCCTCCCCCCTTGCCATCCCTGGAGGAACAATCATGGAAGAAAACAGAGGAGACAGAATTTGGGGGAATATCAAAGTATCTTATATAGCTTTTCTGTGGTTAAAATGAACTACAGTGGTACCTCGGGTTAAGAACTTAATTCGCTCTGGAGGTCCGTTCTTAACCTGAAACTGTTCTTAACCTGAGGTACCACTTTAGCTAATGGGGCCTTCCACAGCCACCACGCTGCCGGAGTACGATTTCTGTTCTCATCCTGAAGCAAAGTTCTTAACCTGAGGTACTATTTCTGGGTTAGCGGAGGCTGTAACCTGAAGCGTCTGTAACCTGAAGCGTCTGTAACTTGAAGCGTCTGTAACCCAAGGTACCACTGTACTTTACCTTTACCAATGGAGGGTTTAAAAAGGTAAAGGTAAAGGACCCCTGACAGTTAAGTCCAGTCGCGAACGACTTTGGGGTTGCAGCACTCATCTCGCTTTACTGGCCAAGGGAGCTGATGTTTGTCTGCAAACAGTTTTTCTGGGACATGTGGCCAGCATGAGCAAGCCGCTTCTGGTGAAACCATAGCAACGCACATAAACACTGTTTACCTTCCTGCTGGAGAGGTACCTATTTATCTACTTGCACTTTGATGTGCTTTTGAACTGCTAGGTTGGCAGGAGCTGGGACCGAGCAACGGGAGCTCACCCCGTTGCAGGGATTTGAACCACTGACCTTCCGATCGGCAAGCCCTAGGCTCATTGGTTTAGACCATAGCGCCACCCGCGTCCCCAGTGGAGGGTTTATACTGTGCTAATTGGTAGTCCATCTCTATCTACCACTTGTGTCTTACCTGTATTTTGACGTAGTTTAATCAATAAAATTCAGAATATAAAGAAAGGAAGAATATCGCCCTGCTATAAAAAAGTCCACGCAGATTGTGACTTTGAAAGTGAGACAGGGAGTGGTAGTATTTGCAGTCAGTGGTTTCTCCTCTGTAGCACTTAAAATGTTAATGCAATTATGTATTTGTGTGTGTGTGTACACACACACACCTAAATGTCTGGGTTAGAACTGGCTGGATTTATAGGACATAGATATATGGGGATGTAGAATTAAAACTAAAGTCGTTCATTATGAGACATGGAGGAGACAAGTTGTACCATTAGTTTTATTTATCACCAGTGTTCCTGTCATTGTCTGTCATTCACACTTAAGATAAGGAACACCCCATTACTCCTTTCTCTCTGAACAGGCATATTTCATCAATTCTGCCAGGTCTAAGAAGTTGCTTGCCAAGTTGCACTTCTCATTGTTTCTTTAAACATAAGCATTGCCAGGGTGAATTAGTTTACTGTTATGTCTTGGTCTGCTCCCCTGGCCCCAGCCCAATGTCCCTGCCCATACATATAAAAGAAAAATTCCAGGCATGCTTGCGGATTTCAGTATTCTTGAAGCAAGAAAAGGATTTGGCCCCTACTCTTTCTCACAATGATGTCCTGTTTGATATTCCAATAAATAAATAAATGACTTGCTCAAGACAGAAACAGGCTGGAACAAAATTAATTGTCTTGCAAGCTCTTCTTAAGAATGGGGATTTTTAAAGGGAGGGGGATGTTTGGGGATTTTTCTGTTACAGTGAGTAAGGACATATCAATCAATCAATCAATCAAGTTTATTGCGGCCAAAGCCAGTGACACTAAACACCACAAGATCAGACAACAAGAAATCAGCAACAACTTCAGAAAAGAAAAAGGTTACACAAGAGAACTTCACAGTGTGCCATTCAACAGAAGAGATTTACGCTTCTTAATTACTAAAGTGCAAAATTTAGCCACCTCATATGATACTGAGCTTGAGGAATCTTCCAGGAGATGTTTTCGAAGAATTTCAGGGGAGGATTCCAAATAATATTGAAGGGGTATAAATTTTGATAGAAGCGGTAAAATAAGTTGAACTCGTTCTTCACTATAGAATTCGCAAGATAGAAGAATGTGTGTGACAGATTCTACCTTATTAGACATACAAGGGCAGAGACGCGCATGCATTGGAACTCGCGTGAATTTGCCGTACAGCACTGCTGAGGGCATTGTCTCAAAGCGGGCTCTAGAGAAAGCCCATCTATAGGTTTCGTTAGTGATGTTAGTTAAGTAAGGGGCAGCTACAAAATTAGGCCAAGCTTTTAAACATCTATACGTCTCTGGGAGTAAGGCGCCTTCTTGTTGTAATTCGATATCATAAAGTCTCCGAGTGATAGTAGCTTTTGCCTTGTTCAGAGTTCCAATAAAAATATTTTCAGGGTTTAGGCCAATTTGTTTGATCTTGTTAGTTATTTGCATAAGCCAAGGAGGATAGGGAACTGCGGCCAGGAAGCAAGGTAATAGACCCTTAGGATTGTAATGGATTTTCAGCCAGAGGGATATTGCTTGTTCCCAGACTTTTAATTCCACTCTGGGCAGTCCTGCCTCTTGCCTTAAGACTGCATTAGGTGTACACTTAGGAGTAGCAAATAATGATCTTAAGAATTTAGATTGTACTGTTTCAAGGGTCTTAAGGTTGGCAGAGGGGCTAATTTGAGAGCCATATAGAAGTTGGGCTAAAGATTTTGCCTGAAAGACTGTTAGGGCCATCGGGAGGAAGCCAGCTCCTTTCCTTCTGAATAATCTAAGGATAGCATTTGCACTTCTTTCTGCTGATATAGCTGATGTGGTCAAGTGTGTTGAGAATTTGGCATTATGAGAGAAAGTAATGCCTAAGTATTGGAAGGTCTTAGTCTGTTCAATGGCGTTTCCCTTTACGCTCCAATTATCCTTCCTAAAGGAGCGGTTAAAATGTACAATTTTGGTTTTGGCAAAGTTAATTGTTAACAGTTCAGTGTTACATTGGTCACTAAACTTTCCTAAGGCACGTTTCAGACCCACTTTGGTTTGAGAGAGAAGAACAGCGTCATCCGCATACATTAAAATTGGTACTTTTCTGCCATTAGAGAACACAGGGGGGTGGGTTTCAATTTCACGGCAGCATGTGACCAGGGAGTTAACATAGATGTTAAATAGGAATGGGGCTAATAGGCATCCTTGTCTAACTCCTCTTTGGACTAGGATTTCTCTAGAGAGTCTGCCGTCGTAAGGACATATTTATATTGATGTATTTTGTACAAGATCATTAAGTCATGTAACAAAGTCATTCTATACAGACTTCTGGAATATTGTCTATAAAGTCTATATGTCACGGGAGGCATAGTTTTCCTATGATGCACATCTGTTTATTATTTAGCCAGATGCCCATGGAAATGGAACGCATAGCTGTGGGCAGGTGGTGGGCTTCATGGCATGCAAACAAACAAACATCTCTACCAGGCATTTAAAATAAACACAGAAGAATCCTGCCTTGAATTTATGTTCGTCATTTATCTCTATTTGTTTGGGACATGTGTGGTGTAAAATGCAATACTTATATGTTCATAACATAGTTTTCCCTGATGTGAGTTTCAAACTTTCATTATAAATGTTAGCCATTGCAGTGTCAGAAGCTTCCTTGAATATGATCATTTTCATGAATGCTGAAGTTTCTCTCTTTTAGTAGGTTTTGTTTTGTTTTGTTGTTTTGCTGCTTTAGACTCCAGCTCTACACCCATTTAGCTGATAGTAAGTCCTATTGAACTTACTTTTGAGTAGACATGTATAGGATTGTATTGTTAGTATATGTTAACTTTCTTGCTTCGATGTGATAATGTCACACTGGCTTACATTATGTTACTTCCAACATTAACATCTTATCCTTGTAAGTGACATGTCTACCTTGTTCTAGACTCCAAAAAGGATGGCCACCCATTCTAGAGAACAAGGCTATGTGCACAGGCCTAATTAAGTGACCATTTTTTAGCTTAGAGAAGTGGATCCTCACTTTCACAGTAAAGTATCACTGATCATTAGAAGGGACATCATAGATGTTGACTTAATTTGTATATCTCCTGAAGCACATTTCTCTTCCTCAGTGATCACAACATTGTTTTTTGCCAAAACTGCAAGACCCTGATGCATGTGCTGTATTTGCTCATGCAAAAGAGTGAACACTAAGGACTGACAAGGATAAATTGCTTCAGGGACAAATGAACTCACCACAAAGAGTGGCATTATGAGTTAGTGACCACCATCTTTGACAAACAGAAATGCCGCATCTGGACTTAGATTCACAGCCCAATCCAACATTTGGATACAGTCCAACTCATATCATCTGAGGCTGACTCAATCCAGATTTGGCCCCAAACTGAATCAGAGGCATTGCACAATGCTTAATTAGAGGTTCAAACTCTAATTAAGCACACAGTCAGGAGGTAGGGGGAGAGGAATCACAAGACTGTCCATGGCAAAGGGTGGAAAATAGCTCTGCCTGCATACTTAAGCCCTCCAGCAAGAGCAATTAAGACAACTTTTCTTTTCTTTTTCATTTAAAAGAAAAGAATGTGCTCATATGCACTTGTCTATTTTTTCCTCCACTAAAAAGTCACACGCTCCTTAGTTAATTGGAATTTATGCCCAATTGAGCAAGTTCTGTGCATTTCAATAGAAAACCATGCACAATCAAAATTCTACAGCAGGGGCAGAGGAGGGGCTGGGCAGTGGGTGCGGGTCGCCCGGGGTGTCACCACTGGGAGAGACGCGGTAGCTTGGGCACACGCAGGCTCCGCGCTGCTCAAACTGTCCACCGGCTGCATCCATCCCAAGCTGTAGGGCGGCTGAGTGGGAGGAGGCAGGCAGACTCCAGAGGCCCCGTGGTGCACCCCACCCTCTCCCCACCCCAGGCACCCGAGCTGCTTCCTCCACCACTGTTCTACAGCAAATATGAGAAACAAGATAAAGCCTCCATCTTTAAATGGAGGACAATACTAGAATACAAATAATATGTGAAAAGAATGGGAAATTCCTGTTTTTAAAAATATGAATATTGCATATTTCATTTTGTAGATAAGTACCAGAAGAAAATGCAGTAACGTGTTTTGTCAAGGTGCAAATATATGCAGAAATATTTAGCAAGGTGCAACATATCCCTAGGTAGAATATCTACTATGCATACAAAGCTTGCTATTGTTCCTTTGGGATCAGAGCCATCATCTATACCATTTTAACATATCTTTCAGTTATAGACTTAATATTTTAAAGACATATAATTTCTATGTACCATGCATTGTATAGAAAGGAAATGTGTTGTTTATATGTCCCATTTAAATAATTAGAACAGGTTAGTCAAGACTCATGTAAGTCCTATCAATTCAAATGAGACTAAATTCTAACTTCCTCTAAACCCAACCACTCATATGATTCAAAGAAAATGCTGCTTCTTACATTTTGTAAAGTAAATAAATCTTCTCATACCCATGTTCATGGAAAGTTGAAATCATTTTTAAATCACTGGTTTTGCTCTAACCTAAAAACTAACAATGCAGTCCCATTTTCAAGTTATACCATGAAAACATGGTGGCAACTAAATCTCCCATTCCAGCATAAATCTATACTGCAATGATGTGCTGAATTTATGCTCACATAGTGAATTTTAACAGTGTAGTGGCACCGTCACATTATCGGAACCTTAAATCAGTGTAATTGCTATGTCATCATAAATACATCTGGGGAAGAAATGGAAAGGTAGTGTTGGAGAGGATCAGATGAGTGTTCAGTTTAGTCTCAGTACTGCGACACCAACAAGGGTGATTTCAGGTTCCAACTTCTTGATTACTTCTTATATGGAATGGTGGAATGTGAGGATGGATATGAATTTGGCATTTGTGAATTCTTGTATAAAATGACCTGATACACACCTGCCAGACCAACCTGTGCATTGAAATTTAGCTATGTGTGATATTCCTGAATCTTTCAATTCAATTCTTGATTTTTAAAAAATGTATCAATATACATTTTAAATTGTATGTTTTAAGAAAAAAAGATGAAATACCTATATAGTAGATTATGAAAAACAAATTTCAGTGCAGATATTCTTTAAAATAAAATAGCATGGCTGCTTCATGCAGAAATGGGTGATCTCATGAAAAGCTGACTTGGCCCAGAAATACTGCAAACTAATTTGTCCAGGTCTAGGAAAAAATAGCCAGAAAATGCTGTCAGCCAAAGTAAGTACTATGAAGGAGGCAAGCTGGAAAGGGTTGAAGGGCCTTAGTTTCCTGTAACTAGTTGAGAAAGTCTGCACTCTGGAAGGTGTTTAAAGCATACTTGCAAAACCATATTGAAAAATCAGAACTCCTATTAGAATAAACAAGTTCCGTTTTAAATACTGAAATACTAAATAAGATGGATAACAATGTGTAATAGAAAAAGAAGCATGAAATTAGGTTAAAGGTGTGTGAAAGAAAGCAATAGAAATGGAAAGAAATTGTAATTGAGTAGACTGGAAGTCTAACACAATGGTGGGGTGAGGGGTGGTGGATGGTGATGGGAAAAGGAATTATCTGTGGGATTGAGTGTAGGTATGTTTGAACATTTTTTAAGGATTGTATGAAATGTACGTATGTAAGCTTGTATATTCGCAATATGTGTGTATTAATGCTGAATTATTTTAATAATAATAAAAAATAAGAAATAAAAAATAAAATGAGAAAATAAAAAAGAGAAAGTCTGCACTCCTATACCCACTCGCCAAAGTGTTAGCCCCATTAAACTCATGGGAAGTACTTCTGAGTCAACATGTATAAGATTATGTAGTAACTGAGGTGATCTCTGATGATTTGAATCATTACAGAAACACCATATCTTAGGAGTGCCATATTTCTCCTTTCACAGTCCTGCCTCCTGGACTGAACTTGGGGCTTTTCTTCTGCTGTGCTGTGGTGTTATCACTAAAGTTGAACAAGATTTCTCACAACACATTCCCCCGCCCAACCCCAACCCCTTTGAAAAGGCAGATCACTTGTTAGACATTCCCCCAATATTATTCACTGTTTTTCTGTGGTGGCTGCCATTCTTTCCTCCCTGCTTGGTCCAGGACTTTGTAGAAGATGCAAATTGGTGTCCAAGCTGCCAACTCTTTCACTGCTGCCAAGCACTGCAGTGGCAGCAAGATAATTACTGGGAAGGGAGAAGTGATTCTGGTGCCACTGCTAATGGTTTCCATGAAAGGGTTCACACAGTTTCTCTGCCCACAAATATGATGGAGAATTTTAAGAAGCCATTTGTCTACAGTTCAGTGCTATACTGAGTTTCAGATCCGCAGAGAGCTCCTTTAGCACCAAACTATATGATAGGGATTATAATGCATGAGTGTGGATAGGCAGGAAGCAGTGTTGCGACTTGGGCCTTCCTTCTCCTGGGAAAATTAATCCACTAGTCAAATAGGTCTCAAATTTTGTACATTGCCAGCCTCTCTTTTCTACCTGATGCCCTGCTCCAACAGTCATAGATTGCTCTGGGCCGGTCTAACCCAAATTTCAGTGATCCATGAGGATGTGTACCCAGCGCATCTGGGATCCTTCAAATATACCCAATTTGGCTTGGGCTTTGGCCATATCTGGTGCACAACTTAGTAGATACATGCTTTTACTCTCCTTATTACACATGCATGAACTTTGTAGTTGTAAATCAATATACTCCTATTCTAGTCAAAGGGAAACAAAGGGGAAAGCCTCATAATCAGACCAGATTGGTTCTAAATGTCTCTCACTCCCTCATGAGCACACATACACCACAGTTTGGCCTCTCTGTCCTGCTGAGTACCTCAGCATGTGGTGAGTGCATTTGTTTCCATGACGACCATTGGATTGATTGTTAAGAGCAAAGTTGTCCAGTTGAGCCCTCCAGACAAGCAAGGCCTGAATGATTCGAGGTCATGCCCTTCTTCTTGATAACAGAGGGTTTAAAATGCTCAAAAAAATAATCTGTGCTTTACATTGAATCATGCTGTGAGAAATGTGAATCAATGTTTGGCTCCTCACATTCCTTCAAATAACAGGTGGGCATAAATACAGATAGCTAGAATAGATCTTCTTCTCTTTCTATTCCCAGTCCAAGACACAGCTGCATCATTCTAATGTTATTCTTCAAGTACGAAGACTGCAATTGTAGCTAACTCCTGGAATTTAGTCTTCTATAATTAATATAGATACAACCCATTTATATGAATAAATCTCAGAAGGGTTTTTGTTGGCTTGAATTTTCTTTTAAAATCTGCAATGAAAACTGTTTCAGGGAACAGATGTTGTCCATTAATCCACCCCCCCCAAAAAAATTAAAGTAGCTCAGATTCTCAAACTATTAGAAAAATGCTCAGTTAAACTTCCTTTTGAAAAAGCCTCTCCTCTTGCAAAGAGGGGAGGGGTTGTGGGTGGGACCCGATGTCTGCCTCATGCAGGGGGCGTTATGCCCCCTGCCCCCCCACTCACCTGGCTGGCGCACCATGCCCACAGGTAAACCCCCAATCAGGTGGCTTGGAGGGGGCGTGGTTTGCAGCTTAACTTGCTGCTGCGCCAGCCACGCGGCCTCATTTTCTGCCTTCCTGTCGCGAGTCACCCACCCTCCACTCCCTTAGAGCTCAGGGTTTTAGTTTTTTCTCTTGGCCTTGCTATGGACCTTAGGTTGGTCGCCCAGGTTGTCCAGGGGGCCTGGTAGGAATTTTTCCATTTGGCATTAGGCCTTGTGGTTTTTTCGCCTACCTAGTAGCAATTGTCACAACTTTCTTGGTATTGGTGGGTAGGTTAGGCATTGGAATGTGTTTGTGGTGTGTGGAAGGGCTAGGTGTGGCCATCGCCTACGCCTTCCATTTTGGGTATTCCGTTGAAGGAATCTGACAGTCGTGGATCCTGTCCGATGCCTGTGTGGTGGGGGGCCATGGCACGACCCTCGGTGACATCAGGGGAGAGCTTATAGTTGTATTAGCATCAACAGGCTCCACCTACTGGTGAATAACCCCCCCTTTTTAGGCTCACCCCTCTCTGAGTGGGTGGAGTCAATTGTCATGATCCAATGCCTAAGCCAATAACTTTTCACTTGCTGTAATCAATAAAGTTGTGGCCTTTTCTTGCCCATTAACCTTATATTACGTGTCCGTGTGTCTTCATTTCACTAAGCGGGAATTGGGCCCTCGAACCACAATTTGTGGTTGTAAGTATAAGGGGGAAAAGAGAGAGGTGAGCAGGTTCATTGAACTACAAAATGGATGGGGAATTGCTGGCCTGTTGGCCGAATTTGGCCCACAAAACCTTTCTTCCAAAAAATGGCCTACCAGCTACCTACAGCGGTATGTATCCCTAGGACAGCTTGTTGGAGCCAGGTAAGAAAACTGCTCATACCAGAGCAATTATGATCACAGGATTTCTTGTTTTTTTCAGCAGCTACAGGAATGTCCTGTGCACTTCCAGAGTGATCTTAAGAGGAAGGAAGAAGAACCTGCCTCCTCCTAGTCCCACTGCTGCACCAGCATCTTCATCAGTCATCATCATCTTCATGATGGGTCTGGGCTGGGTGGGGATACTTGAACCTCAGTCCTGCTGTGGGCATGAAAACCATCCCCTCCTGCCTCTTCAGATGATCATCTAGTTCTTTTTCTCAATTAACTTTGGGTAATATCCAAACTAATACAAGGATTAGCACAAAGATTTCTGCTTGCACAATAACACTTCCCCCCCCCCCATATGTTACGGAGGGGTGGGGGAACTCTGAAAACAGGTTTAGGGGGTGCAAGTGGAAGAGGAGTGGTGACCCATTGTGCAAGCAAAACTCATTCTACTGACCGGATGCCTTGCTTAGCACTATTTTATATGCAACCTTCTGAGTTATTTGAATTCACTCTGCACACCTATTGTTCTCCGTTCCCATCTAGATATTTCACACAATGGGAAAGGTGGAAAGAGAAACAGGGCCAGGCAGTAGGAATTTCTTCCCTCTTCCCTTTGTGCCCTTGCTTGTACACCATGGCATTCTCCCTCCTCCCCATATAGAAGGGGCGGGCAAGCATGGAACATCCTTCTTGGCCAACCCTTTGGGGATCACAATGCTGTTCAGCTGAGAAAGGTGACTATCACCCCCACCCCACTCTTCAGAGGATTGATCAGATTACTGGGGAGGGGCGATTTGCATTCCCGTCCACTGACTCCCATGCTGGGTCCAATTGATTGATTGATTGATTGATTGATTGACACTGTTGCCCAAATTGGTCAGGTATTTGGGAGGGAAGATTAGAAAAATTGCTTTGGGGACTAGAACAGGCCCCAAAACTGAGGGGGAGTATTGAAAGGTCATGAGTGGAAGGGTGAAAGAGAAGTGTCCCACTAGGGAAGAAGAAGAGGAGTTTGGATTTGATATCCCGCCTTATCACTCCCCTTCAGGAGTCTCAAAGTGGCTAACATTCTCCTTTCCCTTCCTCCCCCACAACAAACACTCTGTGAGGTGAGTGGGGCTGAGAGACTTCAAAGAAGTGTGACTGGCCCGAGGTCATGTGGGCTAGCAGCTGCATGTGGAGGAGCGGAGGCGCGAACCCAGTTCACGAGATTATGAGTCTACTGCTCTTAACCACTACACCACACTGGGAGAACTCAAAGAAAAGTTTTATATGGAACAAAGTGTATGGCTTTTTTTCAGTGGCCTCGTGGATATTCAGGAAATTGTAGGAAGCTGTTTAGTTTCTCTGCTTAAATGAATCTGCCTCCACTTCACACTGAATTATTGACAGAAAGAGGCATCTCCACCAGCCATACAGTTGTCACTATGGAGCTTTTATGTGTCTGATAAGGTCGAAGTCATGTACCTGATTAGGGAGGGGAGGAAAAACTGAACAGCTCACCCAGGTGGGAAGCAAGGCTCTGAAAAGGACATACTGTCATTTCATGTGGTCATCAAATAGGAGCATGTGGAATCAACCCTCTAAGCCAACACAAAAAATTGATCATTTGCACAGCAAGAATTTCTGAAGGCCTCTTTGCTTAACAGGAAGGTGCAATCCTTTTGCAGTTAGTAGCACCAAGTGGCAGTACCTGTGGCGTCCCCTAATATGGTCCATTTAGAGGATCAGGCTGTTCACCTCCTTGTCTTGGACTAACAAGAAGAGGGAGTGGAAATCTCTTTATCGTGCCAAGTTTAATGCACACTATTTAATTCATTGTGTCACCTTTTTAGGATAAACACAAGCTAAAGAATATGGACATTGTGCACGTTTATAATCTAAATGAGTTATTTGAATTCATTGCAAATGGAGTGGAAATATTTAAATGGAAAAGTGTTTAAGAAAGTCCCCAAACACTGTTTTAAATGTCAGACTTCAAAACAATTGCCTTTCCATTTATGTCAGTGGTCTAATTTATTTTTAACTTGATTCAGGTGATTCATTCTTCTGCATGCCTTTAAATGTGTAAACTGGGGAATAAATATAATGGAGTGACTGGAATAGAGCATACATTTGAAGGAGCGTTTTCACTTTATTATTTGTTTATTTGCAGTCATCTTGTACATTCTCTATCATGTACACTTCTTGCTATGTACACTTCCCTAATCCCCACTACCAAATGATTATGTACCCCTCAACTATGCCATATTTGGGCATCGTTTTCTTTCACAGGTCATGTGACTCATGTGGGAGAAGAAGAAGAAGGAGAAGAAGGAGAAGAAGAAGAAGAAGAAGAAGAAGAAGAAGAAGAAGAGGAGGAGGAGGAGGAGGAGTAGGAGTAGTAGTTTGGACTTGATATTCCGCTTTATCGCTACCCGAAGAAGTCTCAAAGCGGCTGACAATCTCTTTTCCCTTCCTCCCCCACAACAAACACTCTGTGAGGTGAGTGAGCGTGAGAGACTTCAGAGAAGTGTGACTAGCCCAAGGTCACCCAGCAGCTGCATGTGGAGGAGCGGGGAAGCGAACCTGGTTCACCAGATTACGAGTCCACCACTCTTAACCACTACACCACACAAGGCTCCAAGGAGTCCTGGTTTTCCGCTGCAACATGTCAGAGGGGTGTGATTAGAGAAGTGCACATGGTGCCCCCATACCATTTTCCCCCTCAAAACAACCCTGTATTTATGAGGATGATAGAAACTGCCTTAGTACCACCCAAGGAGCTTCACATCTATTGAGCTTGGACCTGCTTTGCACTGTGCTTGACAAGAATGCATAAATACATAACAACCTTAGTCCAGGGGCTCCCAAATACACATGGAGCTCCTTAAAGAACAAGTGCTTCTTCACTGATCTTAGCAGATCCGGGAATTTATTGTCTTTAATGTCAATGGGGGTATCCACTCAAGTGCTCATAGACTTCTGTTTGCATTTAAACATATATGCCCACTTGACCGCTTCAATCTGTGGAGCTGGCACTGTTACAGCTGCTGCATCTTAGTCATTCTGTGCTTGTGAGAAATTGTTCTTTTAGTGCTGCAACACCTATGCTGTGGAACTCCCTGCCTATTGACATCAGCCAGACTACATAGCCTATCTAGCTATGTAGAAATTACATGTGTTTTGTTTCTTTTTTTTTTTTGCTACTGTCTATTTTCTCTCTCTCTTTCGCAGTGTATTTCCTATGTTGCACTTCTTTATAAAGTCTAGAAAGGAAGACTGGGAAAGGAATAGACAAATCTTCATTACAAACTGCTTCCAGGAATTGTGTACATCCATATGATTATATGCCTACTTTTACTGAGAATTGTAATGTTTACTGCTGCAAGGTTTCCTTATGATCAATTGGTATATGAATAAACCACCTAGTTTGCACTTACTGAAACAAAACATGATCATGGTGCTTACTGTTTTTATTTTATTTTATTGAAGCTCTTCCTTTTATGTTTCTTTTAAAAAATCTACACTTTCTTTAAAAGTAAAAAGACATCACTGAAAGAAAAATAAAGAAAGAACAGCTGTTGGGCATAAGGTAGGAAGTCCCCCCACCTTCTGATGCTTACAAGAAAGCCCAGCTGCTGCTGCTGAATTTTCAGGGAAGGCAAGCACCCAGGAAGGCTGCAGGCAACTGGGTGGATGATTTGCAGGATGAATGGAAGGACACTCACAAATACCACTTTGCCACAATGAAAACAAGATAGTGCATGTATAAAATATAATGCACCCCATTCATCAGTTTTTCTCCTCCTTGGATAATTTGCATGTAATTTCCTATGAATTGTTGAAGGGCAGTTGGGAAGGGCAGAACCCAGGAAAAAAAAAAATTGGCACAGCACTAGTTGTGCTTGTGGACCTCTTCTCCACCAGCAGACCAGCACTGATATCACTTCCAATGGGACCTCAGCTGGCCTGCAGGATTACCTCCTTACTCTGACAATGAAATAAAATGAAAAAGCTGGTGAAGCAAATATAAGTTTTACCCAGGTAAGGGTTTATCTTGCTAGCTACATCTCTCTGTAGAAGGTCATCCTTGTTTTTCAGCTCTGCCATTCAAAGAGACAGCTAATGGGAGAAATAAAAAAAACCAGAAGCCTTTGATATTGCTTCATCTACAATGAAAGCCTGAACTTTCATTTCTATTTCCATAAAACTCTCATGTATGGGCAGAATTCAGGCTTCCCATTACGCGTATACAGTAGTTAATTAAAAAGAAAGTTCATAGTACTCAAACAGCCTTGCTTTGGAGTATTACCTTTCAAACTACTGATAAAGCATGAAAAGCTGTATTGGCCTTTTCACCTTTAGCTTATTCACACTATCATAAATGCAATTTGTTGCTTGTTCACTGCAGGGAGATTGATTTCAGTCTCAGTATGCAGTCAAGCCTGTTCTCAGGGTGCATGTGCATATATATATATATATATATATATATATATATATATATATATGCAAGATGATTTGTAATGTGTGTGTTTTTGTCTAATGCGCTGAGAAAAGTCTTCGCAATCCACAGGCAGGCATCAAAGGGATTACTACATATTTCAATTAAATTAAATGCATCTATTAATAGCTCAGTATTTGATGAAAGGTAAACTGGATGCTTCCCATAATTTTGGCTTTAGCTGGAGAAAGAGCATTCTTTTTCTTTATAAATAACTTTATGCCATACCAAATCCAGTTACATCTTCAATGGCTGAGGAAATATTGGATGGTAATCTGGCTAAACCACACTCAGAGTAAACCCACTGATATCAATTGTCTTAAATTAGACTTCCTTTCTAACCCCATTCACCTGGGAGCAAACCCCATTGAATTAAATAGGACTGACTTCTGAGCAGCCATGGTTAGGATTGCACTGAGATATGGTTTACTTAAGCCCACTGCTTTCAATAGGTCTACTCTGAGTATGAGTTGGCTGGATATCACCCACGTGTTTTGGTATCATGTTAAGAGTTCCTCTCATAGCTCTTCATCATGAATTTGTGAGCAGGATTTGAATTATGAGCAACAGAAGGAATTAGATATTATTGTTTTATTGTTATGATATAAGAGAGGGGAGATAGGGTGCACCTTGAGCTCCAGTTGGGCTATAAATGCAATGAATCAATCAATCAATCAATCAGTCAGTCAATCAATGTTTCATCTCTGGGACTAGGGTTCCACCCCCTCCCCCCAATTAACACCTATGGCAAATTTTCAAAACTATTCATACTAATCCATTAGTTTAGTCTATAAAAGTCTCAGTGTTGTTGTTTTAAGATATGTAATTCTCTTCTTTTTGGGATTTTATTTGAAGAGAGGTTCTTCTAGTAGTTCCAGTTCTGTGAAAAGGGTTCATGATATATTTTCAGCTACAGTATTTCTTGGAATAAAATACAGCATGCCTTATTGTCCTTTAAAGATAATTTGTCTGGCTTCATTATCCTGTATATCCAACTTATCAAACCTGTCTTGTAAATCGCAGTGCACTTCATCAACAGAAGCAGAGCTTGCATAAATAACAGAGTTATGGGTCGAAAATGATAATTACCAGAATCTAATGAATCACATAAATCATTTATAATGAAAGGAAATAAACAGGGATGCTGAGATGAGCACATTAATAACTTAAATTTCTCAAAAGCAATGAGTAGTTTAATTTATACGTTATGTCCGTGGACAGTAACAACTTAAGTTCTATCAGGGAAATAATTAGGAGCTAATCTAAAGGGATAAGTATAGGCATTCTAAATTGGAAAAAATGAATATTAAAGTTACTGCTAAATTACATTCACTATCATGAACCTGCAGTATATGACCTATAATGGTACATGGAGATATGGGAACATCACAGAGGTATTAAGGTTTGAGAAGCATGAAATCTTGTTTCAGCTAAACCAGAAAAAGAAGCAAACAGATTAACACATTTACCTATATTTTAAGCAGGGACTGCCCCCCGCCCCCGGTCCAAATTGTGCTCCTCTCAGGGAGTTGTTGTCAGGATTCCTGAAAGGGGGTGTCTGAACTCATCTTCCATCTACACTGGCTTTTTTTTAAAAAAAGGGGGGGAACAGTTATGAAAGGCCAAACTACCTGAATGATGTAGTTCTGCCCTTTAATCCATGATGAATTGTCCTCACACCAAATACTAGTGCAAAGAGACTTCCATGCCATGTAACTGTGGTATAGAATTTTTCTGGTAACTTTGTCAGGGTTGGGCCTGGGCTGTGGTTAGCCAAATTCACACCTGGGGGTGCACTCTATAGCTCAGATCCCAGAGGTTGGTAGTCATTGCCAATTTATTTATATACCTCATTTCTCATAAATACATCTGTGCTCAAAGAGGTTCACATCAAAAACAAAACAGTATCAATATAGCAGTACAATACATAATACAAAAGCATAAGCACTGCCCCATGAACATGTTGTTTAACATCCATCAATATTTGTGAGCTGATCAACAGGTAAAGCAAAAAATATCCAATAATTTCACATCCAAAAATGCCCCCAAAGCTGATATTAGTACTTAGTGCATACACCCCAGTCCATGGCCATTCCTGGAAAGGAATAGCCTGACTGGTGTGATTCATGTGTTGGTAACGTCATGAATGGATTACTGAACATGTGCCATGTGAGTCTGGAAGTTGTAGCTAGTGCTGGATGCCACAGCTAAACTGGTAACTGGAACAGACTCCCCACCACCACATGAACTGCACTGTCTTCGCATCTACTACTAGGCCAGGTACCAGGTTTTTGTACTAGTGTACAAAACCCTGAATAAGTTAGGACCAGGATACCCAGGATGATTTATCCTGCACACCCCAAGTCGATCACTGAGATAATCAGGGGGACAATTATTAGTGGTTCCCTATGGCCCAGAAGCATGACTCGTGTCAATGAGAAGTTGGTACTTCAGTGATGTGGGTCCATCTCTATGGAACACCCTCCCATGAGAAGTTGGATAGGCTGAGTTTCAGACTCCTGGTCAATAAAGTTTTATTTCAAGAGGTCTTGCATTCTGAATGCTTCTCAGATATTTTACCGTACTTCCTTTTTTCTTTTTGGAAATTGTAAACTCTTGAGTTTTACATGTTGGAGGTTTAATTTATCTTTTAAATTTTGTATATTGTATATTGCATATTTCATTGTTGTAAGCTGCTTTGAGGACTACAGGGTGAAAAATGTATACACACACAAACAAACAAACATATATATACACATATACATATACATATCTAGATATATAAACACACACAAATTAGTAAATCTGTCTATCTATCTATATCTCTCTATCTATCATCTATCATCTATCTATCTATCTATCATCTACCTATCTATCTATCAAAGGCCAGAAAGCCTGCCAAGAAAGATCTTCTGGAAGAGCAACTATCTTATGAAAGCTCTCTGGAGAATGGGACAAGACAAAACCTTTCCTCTGCTGAAAAAACAGAGTCCCTGTCCCCTCAAAGCCCTTCATCTGAAAGCAGCTCCCTTATGAAGGATCTTAGGTGGAACCTGCCATTCCATGAAGGAAAACACAAAGGCTCTCTCCCGTCACCTTCTGTTGATCAGGTAAAAGCAGAATGAAGCAAAATAAAGCAATCAATTCAAGCAAAAAAGGGAACTGACCCAATTAGAGTGACCGTGGGTCCAGCTTTACAGGGAACAGTCCTCTATCTCAATGTCTGTCAGAGGGCAGTCCTCTCTTTGGAACGATGTCTGATGCAAGTGCAGTTTAAGGATAAAAAGTTATAACATCAAGATGCCCTTGAAGTTTGTTTTTCATAATTTTCTCCTGGACAGCAGATAGAGCAGGCACACAGGGCACAATCTCCCTTGATAGGGGAAGATCTGCACTGTATTTTTCTTTGTCATTTTATTGCTTTTTATTATTTTTTAAATTTGCTGCTAATTTTATGCAAATCTGTGATTTCTTTTGTCTTAATTTTGGGCGATGCCTAATTGGTCATTTTAGAGCCTTGGACTTCTGTATTAAACTTTAACCTTTTTGATCTCTGTGTAACTTCAGTCCACTTTAAGATACCATATGAGTCAGATCAGGGTTTTTTTCCCAATTGAGCAAGAAGAATCTGGATTAATTCTGCTAAAAGTCAATTGAGGCTTTTCTCTTCTTTTCTAGGCCGACAACTTGAATCAAAATTGGCATTGCATTGTGACTTTCACCATGATGATTGCCTTATCATCTCTAGTTTTAGATTCCGAACACCTACTGATTGGCTTTTGTTTGGTCCTCTGGACAACTTCAATTTACTGAGAGATCTATTTGAAGATGTGTTCTTCAGTTCTTTTGTTTCTTCTTCAGCAATTCATCCCTCTTCTAATTGACACTAAGCTATCTATCTATCTATTGTGCTGTTAACATGGGTGGTTTTTTTTGTTATTGTCAGTGAGATCACTTTGGAACAAATAGGTCCAGGATGAAACATGAAACATTTCATATCGTAACCCTTAGGATGCTATCTAAGGACTGATACAAAATTTTATGCCTACTCAGAACAAGACCAAAGAATAAAAATCATAATGTAAATCTAGTAGTGTTTGAAGGCTGACTGCAGATTTCAGATTAGAATATAGTCTGAAAATGACAATGAGATTTGAGTTTGCCTTTGAACATGAAACAATGAATGGTTTTATGAATATCTACACCAACTTTCATCCAATCTTTCATTCAGTTATTAAATATTTGATAGCCAAATGCTATCCTACAGGCACCCCACAGGCTCATTAAGACACCTCTTTTTAGGCAAGCATTCCCCTGATTCGAATTTCCCAAGCAACCTTATTACTTATAAGCCAACAAGTTAGCTGAAAATATGCATAGCAAGAATCTATGTAATTTGGAGATGACTATTCAATCACACATTATATTTCAAATCTTTACCAAATTTGTGATAAAGTATCCTCATTTGTCAGGACGATACAGAATACATGCATCTTCACCAAATGTGTGGTAAAAACCTTCTGGCTACTTGGTAGGATGAGATGACCAAACTACTAGGTTACCATTATGATTAGTTATTAATATAGGCTCAGATGTAGGACAGTTTGCCCATCTCAGTGAAAACAGATTGTTTTTTCTTTAGATTTTGCTTAAAACAAAATATTTTTGTAGCTAAAAGCGCCTGTCTGTTCTGTGGGATTCACTTCTCATTTCTACTTGCTTGGCACCATTCATGGGTAATAAATTACTTTAGCAAAACAGAAAAAGAACAACAAAAAACACCCCTCTTTATGTCATCCCTGGATATTACTGCTCAATGGTCCTGTCGCTTTTCCAGCAGCTTAATCCATTTATGGCTAGCGGCACCACACGTTAAGGGCTTGATCCTCTACTTGGATGCATGGGCACACATTATCCCTGCCCGATCAATGCCTAAATGTGAACTAATATCCCACCTAGACAGTCTGGATTAACAGACAGCAGGACGGAAATTGTAGATACATATATTGAAGCAATCCATCCATGGACAGACAATCCAGGTGAGACATTTTTGTGCATGCATGTATATCACTGGTGTAAAAGTCATTTCCAGTGTCCCAAGCAATCAGAATTATTCACCTTTCAGCTGCTTTCTTGCCTTCTGTTAGCCAATTTCAACTAGTAATCTAGTTCACATACATCAACAGCATTTAGATAAAAAACACAGACAAAGACACACACACACACAGAGAGAGAGAGATTCCCCCATTCTATAAACATAATTAAATAATTATGATTTCCGCATTCAGTGACATTTGAAGAAATATCGAATTTTCACCAAACCCATCAGAGCTAAGATAGTTGTAGGGCGATCTGGATTTGAACAAGGTTTATCCATTTTTTTTCTTTATCTGCTTTATTTAAATAGTATCTGGTTCCAGCTCAGTGATGTTGATCAGTCTTTCCTACCCTGTTATCTTCCAGATTATTTTTTTTAAACAAATACTAAAATTCCCCTCAGCCCCACTAGCATGGCTAGTGGTCAGAGATGATTGGAACAACAGCACCATAGTGCAAAACATTTGGATGGCACCATCTAGTTATGTCCGATATTTAATAGTTTATGATAACGAAATAAAGAAGAAAGGAATTGGGGAAGTGAGTCCTATCAGTGGTGACACAGGAAGCTGCCTTATATAAAATCAGACCACCAGTCCCTCCAACTCCATATTGTGTACACTAACTAGCAGTGGCTCTCCAGCATTTTAAATAGGAGATATTTCCAGCCCAACCTCGATTTGCCAGGAATTGAACCTGTGACCACCTGATGCCATGGGCTGGCTGGATGCAGAGGTGTAGAAGGAGGCACCAGTTGGGGAACCTGCAAGGGAAGAAGGCTCAGAGTCAGGGGAATTGGTGGTGGGAAACGATGAGTGGACAGGCAGAGGAGTGGGAGCCGACTGGGAGGAAGCTGAAGAGGTAACTGGGTTTAGTGAGCAGGAAGCAACTCTTGCAGAGAGTAGTCCATAGGCAAAAGCAGAGGGTGGAGGGGAAGAGGGCCAAGAGGCAGCAATGAGTCAGGTTGGTGAGGAAGTCAGGAATCTCCCCCTCCTGCAGTGACTAGCTCCCCTCCCTTCCGGTTTCCCAGAACACATAGAGGAATGAGGAGGACAGAGCAATGAGAGACAAGATGAAGAAGCCTCAGATTGCTCCAGAGAAGGAGGAGCCTTAGAGAGCTGTGGGAAGATGGGGATCTTCAGTCTTTGCAAGTGCCTCATTGGGGCAAGACCAGCTGGGAGGAAGTACTGTGATCCCTAGGTAGGCCTAAGCCATTTTGCTTCTTTGAATATAGAGGTCGTTTCGATGGCACTTTGTGAGTTAGTGCTGTGCTGGGAAGTTTCTGCCTCTGCGCATGGGCCTGGGAATGTTCTGATCAGTTCCCATTGAGTTCATGAAACAGTGTACCTTGACCTGTTCTTAATGCATTATTGACCACATCTACGGACTGCGATTGTTATGTTCTTTCAAGTCATGCAATATCAATCACTAGTAACCATGTGTTCCCTTTCCCAACCTTTATGATTAATGCCCTTGCATTGTATTTGTGTTAACCAATCAGCAACAAGCACATATGTGGTAATGCTGTAATATTCAATAAAAGAGACTCGCCGAGACATGCTCGGTAGATGCCTACCGTATGACACCTTGCCATTTGTCTGTCGCTTATTTCAACCCAACATCTGGTGACCCCGACGTGATTCCGACGTGCCAGATCCCTTTACGCAGCCTCGATACTTCACTCGACTGGAAAAGTCTCAGCGCGCTACTTCGTGAGTATGGGGGGGGGGACTTACAAGGTTCCAAAAAGAGCATGCCAAGGAGCTGCTCCATTTAGTCAGACAGAGGGTGGCGGGTGCGCATATTTCTTTGAAAGAAATTGAACAATTGTTAAGTGAGATTGCTTGCCAGTGCCCCTGGTACCCAGAGTCAGGCTCTCTGGGAACAGAAGCTTGGCAAAAGATTGGAACAACCCTCTTCTCAGAACCGAGGGCACCGATTCATTGTCTGCTCACTTGGCAGAAGTGTGCAGATGCCGTCGCTAGGTTAGGATCTCAGGCATCTCCGGCCCCTGCCCTTTTAGCCGCAGCAGACAATCCCCCACCTTACCCAAAGCTTTTGCCTCCATCGCAACCTTCCCTACTCCCCCTACGCCTCAGCCCACATCCACCCCCCCATTCCTCCTTCCCTCCCTCCTTCGCCTGCCTCAGCCCCTGCGTGCTCTCCCACAGGAGCTGTGTGCGCTGCGCTTTTTCAAGCTAGGCAGAAAGGAATCCTCTCCTTAGAGGAAGAGGCTGGATGGGCTGGGGAAATGCCATCTGCTTTCCCTATCTCCTATACAAACCCTGGCACTGCACAACAACAGATTATGTACGAGGCGCTTCCTTATTCTATTCTGAGAGAATTAAGGAAAGCCATTACTGATTCTGGCCTAAAATCTTCTTATGTGCTAGGGATGCTGGAGGGGATCGCAAATGGTTACACAATGCTACCTCAAGATTGGAAAGATCTGATGCGCATGCTTTTATCCCCGGCTCAGTATGTGGTTTTTGAAAGTGAATTTAAGCATAGCGCAGTAGCCCTGGCTGATCCACAGCATTCAGCCAAACAACTCTTTGGTGCTGGTCCGTATGATAATATACCAGCCCAGGCGCAATTGACACCTTTACATTTTAGTCACACCGCGACCTGTGTACAACGCGCCTTTCGCAAAGTCCCTGTCTCAGGGCAACCGCTGAGCCATGGTCATTTTATGGTCCGGAAATCAGCTCTGAGTGCTCACTGGAAGGACAGATCCTGAAGCTGAGGCTCCAATACTTTGGCCACTTCATGAGAAGAGAAGACTCCCTGGAAAAGACCCTGATGTTGAGAAAGATGGAGGGCACAAGGAGAAGGGGACGACAGAGGACGAGATGGCTGGACAGTATTCTCAAAGCTACTAACATGAGTTTGACAAAATTGCGGGAGGCAGTGGAAGACAGGAGTGCCTGGCATGCTCTGGTCCATGGGGGTCACGAAGAGTCGGACACGACTAAACAACAACAAAATCTGAGTGCTGAATTAGGGATTGTGATTCTAACATTCAAGCATCCCCTTGCCTAGCACACTAGGAGAGAGCTGTTTTGGGGGCTCTATTATTTAGCTGGCAGCAGAAATATGTTTAATTAAAAATGTATTGGTCTATTGGTGATTCACCCACAAAGCTGTGTTGCAAATCCAATTCAGCAAACAGTATTGGCTTGACAGTTAATATAGCAAATGGCTCTAAAAAAGCAAAAATGGACTACGCCATGGTTGTTTCCTCCATATTAAGTATTCTGCAATTACCCATTCAGACTGAAATCAATAGGAGTAATTCTGAGTAAGTAGCTTGGAGATTGCAGCCTTAGTGTGTGCTGCATTTATACACTTCTACACTCACCCTTTCTCAGTGTGAAGTAATTTACATTTTATTTCTGCCACATGTACATACACCAAGGTAAATATCCAAGTATTGATCTTTCCCCAACTTGTTTTTCTTTATGACAGTTTTATATTTAGTTTGTTTTTCTATCTCCACATTTCTAAGGCCAAAGTGCTGATTCCAATTAAACACTTTATACTGTAATTCTTGACATCCTGAAGAATGACTCAACATTGCAATTATTATTATTATTATTATTATTATTATTATTATTATTTTATTGCAGAGGTCGAGGCTACTAGGCAAGCATATGAAATCTGTAGAGATTTGGATCCTTCTGAAAAGAATATGCATAATACAATTTTGATCTGTGGCATGGAGCAGCTCAGCAGGAAAACTCAAACTCCATTTAAGAATATTAAACTGGTTATGAATTGCACCTAATCACACTCTGACAGAACGCTGTAACCCTTCAGGGTAAGTGATGTCTCTGGTCAGTAAACAGTGCAGGTCACCTGTTCCTTTTGATGTGTAAGTAATATATACTGTAGTGCCATAGAGAAAGCTTCTCTCATCCATTCATTGGCTTTTCCTGCATAAGCCTGTAATTGAAGCCCATAGATTCCACAGAGATCTATGCAGAGTGGAGACATAGTGGCAGAGGGATAGCTTTTTAATATATAGCTCTATTGTCCATTGAAGCATGCCAGTTTTCTAATCCAACGGGATGCAAACAATCATGTCAGTAGATGGGAATTGATCAGTGGAATCGCAGCTGGGGACGAGCTGTGTGCAAAACGGTGTCAGTCAGTGTGCAAACCTTGGGAAGACTTGCCATAAGTAAGAAAGCAGAAGGGAAACTGGCTTGGGGAGAGCTAAATTGCATTGTATTGGGGCAGTTGCACTGTCAGTATATGAGATTAAAGCAATTCCTACTGTATAGATCTGTCCAGAGCCATAATCGAGGAGAAAATTCTCCAGCGAAAACAATAAAAATGGCTGTTAAACTGTAAATCTAATCAGCATCGATTGAGTGCAGCTTTGGAATTCATTTGTGCACTAAAAAATATCTGTTTTCTACTTTTTAATAGGTCTTACAATAGGACTAGGAGGGAGTAAAAATGCAATCTGCATTGATTTTTTTAAAATTAGAATCCACAGTCTCAGGTACTTCTAAAACTATGAGTCCTTTGTTTTAGGTCTTTAATTGCTTCCTATGAGAATGGTTTATAAAGATAGCGGTACCCATGTAAGTTACATGCTGTTGTTTTAGAGTACCAGGACTCTCTCACAGAAGGGTCAGATGGACAAGAAATATGTCTCAATAAACATTGCAAAATGGATGAAGCAAGTGATCCGAAGCCATTGACAAGAGGAAAATACTCTGTATTCAACATCCAAACTTACTTTCCCCTAACCAAAACAGAGTGCAGGTCTCCCTAATCTGCCTGGATGCTTTAATGCAGCCCTCATGAAGATGAATAGAATCCTGCTGCTCTGCTATCGTAACAGTAGAATTTACACACTATGACTGAAAACACCCATAAGTGTATTGTCATGGCAAGACTGTAAGGGCAAATTTGACTATCAACAAGCAGGCATGGCTTGATTTGTTAAAGGGGCAAGTAAAGATAAACAGTCTTGTGTCCAAAATATATCACAGAACTGACTTCAGTGGGTCCAGATATACAGCCACTAAAAATGTCCCCTTAGTTCTTTGGAAAAGCAGCAGATTACTGTAAAGGCTAAAGTGCGTCTCCATAGTTACAAAGTGAAAATGATTGTTTAAACCACTGGAAAAAAGAGATAGTTCAGTAAGATTGATAAACCTTTCTAACTTAGAAAGGAATCTGATTTATCTTCTAACTGAGGTTGATTTTCATGACTATAGTTGTTTTGAAGAAGCTTAGGTGCAATATCATGCTGACATTAATAGGATGGATAGTATACAAGTCTAATCAGAAATAAGCCCTACTAAGTTTAATGGGATTGTAGTATTTGTGCTTGTGGCCTATTGGTGCCAATTCAAGATAAGAACACATAATTTTCTTTGGGCAGTGGCCTTGGGTTCTTGGCTAAACACAATTAAAACTGGATGACAAATTTATTGTCTAAATATTCAGCTAATAAGTAACTAATTATGGTTTGAGATTGTAAAGCTATAAAAGGCATTTTCTTTATTTCAATAATTCTCCTTTAGCCTTGTTGTTATTTCACCTGGGAAACGCTGCTACTTACCAGAAAATCTTGAGCATTTGTATTAAATTGCAGAGAGGCTCTGGGAATCCTTAAACACAATTCATTAGAAGTAACTTGGAAGAGAGGTTTAGCCATGGATTTATTTAATTTATCTGAATGGGGAGGGGTTTGGGAGGGAGTCATCCTAACACTCCCCAGTCTTGTGCATTTGGTTACAGGGATCACCAAACTGGCTTTTCCAGCCTGAAGGCAGGATTACTTGTGTTCTGCTCTGCTATGGACTCCCCTTGATGTCTGCTGGGAAGTTTCATCTGTTACATAATACGGTGGCTGTAATCACTTAGAAGTTATGGCGCTTTTAGTTCTCTGCTTCAGCATGAAAGTGAAATGCAGGATACATACTGGGATAAGGGAGACATGTCAGAGGCAGTTTTAGACTCACACAACTTGTCCAAAACAATGCTGTAGAACACAGCATGAGAGGCGAAAAGTGCCAATTTGAGTGTTGCACAGGGCACCACAGAAATTTGAGAACACAAAGCCCATCACTAGACATATCCTTTCCTGCTCTAACAACCCAGGAGCAGTGGTTCCCCATTTGTGGAATGCCCTCTCTATTAAAATCTGTCAGTCTCCTTCATTATTAACTTTTCAGATAGATATTAAATTATTTCTATTTTTCCAGGCATTTTATGACTAAAACTCCTATCCCTGGCAACACTGAAATTATTAGTTTTGAGAGTAGGCAATGGTTTCTAGGGACTCAGCTATACAGTGGTACCTCGGGTTAAGTACTTAATTCGTTCCGGAGATCCATTCTTAACCTGAAACTGTTCTTAACCTGAAGCACCACTTTAGCTAATGGGGCCTCCTGCTGCCGCTGCACCGCCGGAGCACGATTTCTGTTCTCATCCTGAAGCAAAGTTCTTAACCTGAAGCACTATTTCTGGGTTAGCGGAGTCTGTAACCTGAAGCGTATGTAACCTGAAGCGTATATAACCCGAGGTACCACTGTATTGATGGGGACGTGGGTGGCGCTGTGGGTAAAACCTCAGTGCCTAGGACTTGCTGATCGGAAGGTCGGCGGTTCGAATCCCCGCGGTGGGGTGAGCTACCGTCATTCGGTCCCAGCTCCTGCCCACCTAGCAGTTCGAAAGCACCCCCAAGTGCAAGTAGATAAATAGGTACCGCTTTCTAGGGGGAAGGTAAACGGCGTTTCCGTGCGCTGCACTGCGCTGGTGCTGGCTCGCCAGCTGCAGCTTCGTCACGCTGGCCACGTGACTCGGAAGTGTCCTCGGATGGGGCCGGCTCCCGGCCTCTTAAGCGAGATGAGCGCGCAACCCTAGAGTCGGACACGACTGGCCCGTACGGGCAGGGGTACCTTTACCTTTTTCTACTGTATTGATAAAGAAAAAAACATTTTATATGTGTTGTATATTCAGTATAACACTGTGGCACCAGATGGCACTGTGGAGTTCCATGCATGATTTCTCATACAAAGTTTACAACGTGTTTAACTGAAATGCTTCTTTGATGTCTTTACATCCAACCTAGGAGTTTTTAACTTCCATCGTACTGTTTTTGTATTGATATATTTGCCTTCCCTGGGTTCCTTTAGAAGAACATGTGGGATATAAATGTAGTAAATGAATACAATATTCTGCCTGCCATATGTATTGATGGCATTTAATCTCTGGTATCAGGATTGAGGAGTCAGGAAGACACTGGTTGCAGTCTTGATGCCACCCACCGCAAGTTGTCAACATTTTTTTAAAGTACATAAACATCAATGAAAATTTGCTACAGAACATTTCCCAAAATGCAGCCAAATTTCTTAGTGGTCCATCCCTTCATTTAAACCTCTTTGTGCAAATAATAGCTAGAGACACATCCAGCTTTTGCTGCCGACACAAAGAAAAAAAGTCAATCTCATGTTTTTTCCCCTTCAGATTTCTGCAAGCACAAAAGACCCAGGGTCACTGCTATGCAGTTTTTTCCCCAAGAAAGGGTCCCCCCCCCTAAAAAGAAGCCATAGAAATGAAAGTCACAGTGGGAACAAGCTAACGAATGCATATTTACTTACACTGTAATGAGAAAGCTCCATGTCTGGTGGACTTGACTGCCCTTTTGTGGGATTCTTGGGATGTGATGTTGCTCTCCCCTGCCAGTATCTTCTCAGATACTTCTTTTAACAACACAATATGTATTAGGCAAACAAAGCAGACAATGTGCCCCCCCAGTTTTTCTTAGCATAAACCTTCATTTAAAATATAATATATGGTGTTATGACTATATGCATTACATGATCAACACACATCAAGTGAAATCTTATATGGAAAATAGCAAATAAAAGCACACTTCTATAAACCAGAACTTTCAAGATCTGTCATAGTCTTGTGTTGTTGAAGTAATTTGTTTGGGGGAGCGAGACGAATAGCAGGAACAGCAGCCATATATAATGAAAGGAATGATATTGTTTGCCTACTAATCATGAAGCCATTGCAATGTGCTTGGTACAATATGGCCTTAACTTGCTGCCGGACCATAAAATCCTCAAGTTGTCTACCTACCTAGTCCTCATAATGTTTTATATGAGGATGAAAGAGGCACATTGAATACCACACAGTCACATACCCTCCAACATTTCTCTGATAAAAGTAGAGATGTCCCCGCCAACATTTTTCTGATGAAAATAGGGATGCCCTAAGGAAAAGCAGGACATTCTGGGATCAAATCTTAAATCGGGACGGCTTCTGTAAATCTGGGACTGTCCCTGGAAAATGGGGACACTTGGAGGGTCTGCAGAGGCCATAACTCTTCAAAGCATTACACATGTTTAAGGTTATTGTTTGTAAAGAGGCTAAGACTGCAGTCCTACCCTTCCATTCCCTGCAATACTCCCCTGGAATTGAGCATTCTGGAGGTGGTATCCTTATTCATTCTCCCATTAGGATGAATGGGAGGGGAAATGGGGGGAGCCAATGGATGACCAATTTAAAAAAGGAAAAAGTCGCCCTCCGCTCCACACGTGTATCATACCCTACCAATGTGAGCACAACAGAGGCTTAGATTGGGTGATATTTCTGCCTTTGATTATCACTCATTTTTTGCATTAACTCTGCATTAGTGCAATACAGAGCTTATCTCAAGTCCACTTCTTTCTTCCTTCTCTAAAATGTCACCAACTGTCAGGAGTCCAGGTTCCCTACTTGATAACACAGTAAACGTAGGTAATTAAAAAGGAGGCTTTATTGCAAAAACAAACAGAAAGCTCCGGACAACTCAAACAAAGCCTCCGGCATCATGACTCAAGATAACCCTTCTGAAGACTGCTTCCGGCATCTACATAAGATATTGAACTTACAACCTTTACGTCTCTTGTTTTGCTTCCTATCTAGCAGCGCTCCCATTCGCCGACTCTTCTGACTTAGTGGATCAGCTCCAAACTCTTCCTGTTCAAAGAGGCTGTCTCTGAGTCTATTCGCTCCTGTTTGTGCTTCCTGAGAGCTTTGGCTACCTTCTAGCCTGCTCTCAGCTACTGTCTTATCAGCCCTCCCGTCAAGGTCAGGAAGCGCCGAAGTCTGCAGCTGCCAGCTCTCCCTTGCCTCACTAACATGTAAGCTTCTCTGTTCCTGGCTGCTTTCTGCAGTTGGCTGCAAACCTTCACTTCGAGCTGGCTCATTCCTGACACCAACCATACAGGCATGTGTGCATATGAGCACACTCATGTGTAGTGCCACCCTAGATGTGAGGATATTGCACCATAACGGTCATTATTAAGTGCTAAACACACTTCCAAGGCTCACTGAAATCAATGTTTTGTTCATGTAAGAGCTGGCTACCATATGCTGTACACAGGTTGGCACTTCACAGATTTTGGAAAGCTATCTTAAATTCACTGCCCCTGAAATCTCCTGAGGTGGTGCCTTCCCTTTGCCTAACCTTTGATCACCCTTGACTTTGATGGGGTTGTGTGTTTGAAAGGCTTCCCCATTCCTCACCAGCTGTTTTTTTGTCGTGCTATCAGAGTTTGGCTACAGCTTCTCAATGTACCATAGTGAGGTGTGTGGGTGGGTGTTCCTGTCCTAAAATGCTGAAATGAATTTTCTAATATCACTCCTGGTGATCGTCCTTACTGTAGTCAGTTCTAATGCCAACGCTTTCCTTTTCATATAGGCCTGTCTTAAAGAAGCAGAATTGACATGAACTCCTACCCATGTACACAAAGAAAAGCCACATGTAAAAATCAATGCTTATAAACCCCATGAACACTTGTTAAACACTTGTACTGGCATACGGGCTATATTTCTGTACATGCATGTTATATACCAATTTAAAATGAATTTGATAGCTTTGATAGCTTTCCAACAAATGGCATGTAACTTCTGTGATCTGAGAACTAGGTAGAGACAGCAGTCTGTCTTTGGCTTCACTCTGGTTGGTCATGTTATCTTTGCCCAGGGAGTTTCCACCCTTATAAATTAATATTAAGATTTGCATTATCTAATCCGGACAACACTCAAGCTATTCAACAGAAGAGATAAAAATATACTGCTGAGAGATTTTCAAATATTAAGCAGTTTATAAATGTTTTTAAATATATAAGTGAAAATAAAATATCATGTCATAATACTGTGCAGTTTGAAATGACTGGATGCATGAAAACTGACTCCATCCCCTTGTTAAACCTTTTCACCAATACACAGGCATTCCCATTTCAGTGTGAATTAAACCAATTATACTTAACAAAAGCTCAGCCAGCTTGAGGCCAAACCAGCAGTCATGGCTTCCGGTCCCTTCTCTGGTCACAGCCAAGATGGTTTTGTCCTTGTTCTTCTTTTTTGTTCCCAGCACACCTTGTTCAAGACCCAAGCCTCTGCCAAAGACACTCCTCTTTCACTTCATATACACACTCTGTCACGTTGTCAGCCTCTATCTGCTCAGGCCCAAGGATTCCTTTTTGATGAAAAGTGTCACCAACACCTTTTGTCATATTAATGCCTTGGCTCATTGCTGGCTAGCTATGTGAAGCTGCCTGGGCTTGTGATCCTAAACTGAATGCAACAGCGCTTGGCTGAGTTTTAATTAACCAAACTTTGCTTATGAGTTTTCTCACATTCTAGCTCGTTACTGAATCTAGAGATTATGGAGAGTCTGCCCCTCTGCCAAACTCCTAATAAGATATTAAAAGCTCTGATCATTTGTCACTCGCATGTAGGATGTTCACACATTGAAGAAGGAACTCTATATATGTTAGCAGATGGTAACAAGAGTCAGGGGCTCCTTTTTAGATATCCACACTCAGGAAACAAGTGTCTGGTGTATGGCTAGCTTAGCGGTGTGACATTGTGGCTGGGACCAGCAGTTCCTGCTTCAGTGCTTAAGTGCCCTCCACACAAATAATGCATGAATATTGCTTTTCCTTTGGATAATCTCAGATATGCTCCTAGTTGGCAAGGCTGGTGTCTTTAACTAGTTAAGAAGGCTGCAAATCAGACATGTCAATAAAGTTGGTCCATAGTTCAATTAATTTACAGTCTTGTGCCTTCGTTCCAGTGGTGTGGGGCAAATCATCTTTGCACTCATTAGGACAGTATATGAATACAAATGGAAGCAAGTAGAATACTTTGAGCATTCCTTTGAAGCAAGCTGGCTGCCTTGGCTTTCCAAAGTCAACATTGTGCTGTTATAAAACTATGAAGGAATTAATTGGCGAGGAAAGGTTTGTGCTGGTATAGTGGGAATCAGTTGGTTGGCTAATTATTTCTCTGACAAGGAAACACACTTGCTATTAAATGATCCACTATGCAGAAATGTGGGTGAAAGAGAAGAGTTCATTGAAGCTAATCAACCAGATGATTCCAAGTGAGAATGGCAAATGTTTTTCTGGGTGGAATTCAATGCTGTGCTCTGCCAATCATTCCATCTACATAAACATTCCTGTTTGGCTGGTGGATAAATATCCCTCCCTTCCCCCCGTGCACTATTCTGGATTATTATTTTTTACAACCCCCTAGGCCATTTTATTTTATTTTTTTACATGGAGGGAAGAAAGCCCCATTGTGCAAGCAGGAGTCCTTGTACTGGGATTCTGTTGGGTTAATCCTTTGTAGTTTATAGTTATTCTCAGTGCTTTTAGGGGTACTCTCATTCCATCTGAGGCTCAAGAAACACCGTGACAGGAAATGAAGCCGCCGTTGCGGGTAGCAATGGAACTGACGATTCACCGTGCTAGAGAAGAAACTAATATTTAAAAAAAACTTTTAGTTTCTTCTCCCATTAAATTCACAAAATGTTTAGGTGTGTGTGTATCCCTGCGTCCCTCCAGAAAAAAGGAGCAGCACTGGTTATTCTAGTTCCACCATACATATGGAGGAACAGCTCAGCTGCACAAGCAGAAGATAAGGTTTCCCCCACAGACACTGTGAATCACACAATGGTAGCCTTATACCAAGCCAGGCTGTTGTCTCTCTAGCCCATTATAGTCTGTATAATAGTGTCTTTGCTGACAGGAAGTGACTCTCCAGAGTCTTCCATCATCCACTATTTGGTCCTTTTCACTAGACATGGAATCTGTGCTCTACAACTGTTCCATCACTAAAAGTGAGCTTTGCCCTAATTCCACAAATCTCTCTGCAGGATTTGAAGCCACCTTGCCTGTTTCCTATCTCAGTGCTAATACCTGATGAGCAAACAGGAAATTGTGTTGTCCCACGTATGTATGCTAATATTTCAACTTCATGAGTGGGATTCTTTACTTGGGTCTTTAACAGCACATTAGGGATGGGGGAAGAAATTCTATTCAGTCTGCATTTAAATGTCAATCTACCAGTGTCCAATATATCCTACTAAATATGCACTTCTCTGAATTTTGCAAGACAGTTAGTTCTCCAGACAAGTAAGCCAAGTAATGTGAACATATACTCATAGACTAGGAAAATAATTGCATAAACCACATATATTCATGAGAAGAACACACACAAAATACATACAGAAATGTATATATAAGAAGAAATTCACACTAAGATCTGGTAAATTTTCATGAAGCCTATTTTTAAAAATTACAAACTGATGTGGAAATAACTGAACAAATGAGGAACTAAGAGAAACTGCAGCGGGCAGATTCACCCAGCCCATTGACATCTCCTTTCCCAGTGCCACATAAAGAGCGCTTGCTCTGCATGTGAAAAGTAGCCACATGCAGTGACACAAATGTGTAAGTGGTGCCTGCTAACAGAAATGACACACAATTCTGGGCGTTACTTTGGCAAAAGTAGCTCCTTCCCATGCCATCTGAGAACGCCCCTTCATAATATTGCAGGGATTTCCGGACAGCCTTTCTGCATATCAACCTGTCCAGAGCCTGAGATCATAATCTGAGGCCCTTTCCTGCACAGAACCTCCAAGGGAGGTCTGGAAGGTGGCAGCAAGATGATGAACTGTAATAGTTCCCTGTCTATGGAATACTCTCTTGAATTTTGTCATCTGTCAGCACCAAGTGAACCATTTTTGTGATTTTAATAAATTTGTACATAATTATTACTGGATTTTATTCCTCCAAATAACTTCCAGACTTTGGTTGTGGGAAGCAATTTATAAATTAAATAAACTGAACCTAACTATGGGACGCAGGTGGCGCTGTGGGTTAAACCACAGAGCCTAGGGCTTGCCTATCAGAAGGTCGGTGGTTTGAATCCCCACGACGGGGTGAGCTCCCATTGCTTGGTCCCTGCTCCTGCCAACCTAGCAGTTTGAAAGCATGTCAAAGTGCAAGTAGATAAATAGGTACCGCTCCAGCAGGAAGGTAAACGGCTTTTCTGAGCACTGCTCTGGTTTGCCAGAAGCAGCTTAGTCATGCTGGCCACATGATCCAGAAGCTGTACACTGGCTTCCTCGGCTAGTAAAGCGAGATGAGCACGGCAACCCCAGAGTCGTCCGCGACTGAACCTAACAGTCAGGGGTCCCTTTACCTTTACCTTAACCTAACCATATGGCCTTTGGGACTTTGGCCATTGTGTCCTCTTAATGATGACAAAAGTCCCTGATATCAAACTGTTGTTTGATTTCCATGCTTGTTTCCAGAAGTATTCACGTCCAAACCTGCTGCATGTCTTATCAAAGTTCTTTCCCGGCACACACTGACTGTCTCTTCCTGTAACGTGCATCTCGTCCTGCTTGTCTTTTACCTTATTGTCTCCCATCTCTGCCATTCTCTCTGTACAACCTTCAGAGTTCTCCCCATTGATAAAAACAAAAACTCTTCCTCTGAAAGGGGTTTGCACAAGCACATTTTAAGGATCAGAAATTCTTGGTCACTTTCATATTCCCCCACCCCCATTCAGCGCATCTCCCTTGACGGTCTCCATTTTAATTTTCTCAACCTGTTATGTCTCATCTCATCCCTCTAATTCTTCTTTTCCTCCATTCAGGAAAACAGTGAGATGCTGTCAATATGCAAATGAGAAATGAAGAACCATGGAAGGGAGGAGGGGGAGAGTTGCTTTGTGTAGCTGTGCAACTCACAGAAGAGGGAGAAACAGCCAATTATTCGTGGGAGGGAACTGCTTCACTATCTCCATCTCTCTCTAATCCAAGAGAGGCCATGCTACACATTCAAGGGTGGGGGGAAAGAGGCCAGTTGCCTGCTGAGAGTAGAAAATAACATGATATGGAAGTGGGAGCTTTCATTGTACTTTTTACAGTTGTATTAAGTGAATGTGACTTTGCATCAGCAAGTGCCTTCCAGCATTTGCAGAACCCCCAGTCTCTTCAGAACACAACAAATAATATAAGAAGTAGTGATGCCTCTGGACAAAGAAAAAGGAAACCAATCCCAAGTACGTTTGATGCTAAAAATAATGTCTAAATTCTAGCACATTTTAATGTAATGACTAGTGTAATGTAATGACCAGTGTAATGAGGCACTGTGGCATTGTCCGGCATTCTGTCTGAGGGCACCAAAGGCTTAAATTGGCCTTACAGCCCCTCAATTTCCCCAGGGTCCCCTCTCCCCAACTGCATGTTTAACATGTTTAATCAGGGTTTTACAATCTGGGGCAGTCCTTCAATCAATCCTTTGTTAGGCAAACCACACATTATCAAACAAACACCATATACAAATTGTGGAAAATACAAATTCAGCATAACAAGGTTTGTCCCAGTCACCCCGGCAGCGCATATGCTAAAGACTCCCCTGCCTCTATGGGACTGTGTTCAAGTCTGACAAGCGCCACCATTGTGAATGACAAGCACAGCCGCTGGCGTGGCGCATCTTTAGTAAATGAGCACACAAAGTTGAAAGTCCTTTAGTGAAACAGTAGGTATACATTTTGGTAATACCTAGGTATATATGTATTTTGTTTTTCTAGCTTGATCAAAATTATTTATTATTTCATAACAGGTAGATAGTTAAGAGCTTAGGCGGCTTCAGCAGTGGGTGCCTGGCACCCCTCAGAATTCGGCGTTGGGTGCCCCACAATCCCTGCCCCCCCCCCCCCGGTAAAGACAGCCCTGCATAGAGAGAACATTGTGTCTCTAAATAGCATTGGGTCTCCTGCTTGTGGGCTTCCTATAGGCCATTGAAAGAAGAGAAGGCCTTTGGCCTGATCCATCGAGGCTCTTCTCTTGTTCCTATTTGGTCAGGTAACACTCACTAGTTAGACAGAATGCAAGGAACATTTTCCAGAGATTAAATATTTTACTTAATAGGTCAATGATATTTATTTCCCCAGCGTGTTTCCAACGAAGGGGTATTTAATGCCATTAAACCCGCAAAATTAAACAGCAAGTTTTCTTATGGGATCCTCAAAAGAAAATTATCCAAAGAGAACTTCAACAATCTTTTCTGTTCACACGCTTCAATAGCTCACTAGTTTTTGATTCAGTGTTTCAGGTGACATGAAATGGAGCTCTGTGGTGTCTCAACTTCCCTACCAAACAACTGCTACTTTTCCACACAAACTTTAAATATTATAATATAATATTAATTTGTCATATACCAGCTTGGCTGACTTTGTTTATCAGCACATAGAAAACCGGGAGGGGGGAATCCTCCTTGAATCTGATTGGCTACCAACCTAACACTTTGATTTGCTGGGAATTCTTTAGAAATATTCTTCTGCCGCTCATGTCCAGTTTTGGATATATTGTGGCTAAAATTCCTTCTCATCTATGAAGGCTCCTGAGTTATCTCTCTCTCAGCCTGTTCTTCCTGACATGGCTGTTAGAAGTATAATCACCGAGTTCTACTTGGACACGGGACCCCTCTCACTCAACTCTGGGTTCCCTGGAAGAAAAGTGCATTATACAAATACTAATGTGCTAGGAAATTAGGACTCTTCTGTTTCTTTCTGCCTAAGCTTCTCCTGCCTTCAACTCATTTGTATGTTCCTTATTGCCTGCCACAAATTGCTTTCTTGGGTATGAATCCCACTTTACATCTTTCATCACTCAGTCACCACAAACACAGAAAATATTGACACACAAAGACCAGAACATCTTTTTTTTCTTTCTCTTTTGAACAGCAGACAGTGTGTGGAGGATTGTAGAGCATATCATTTTCTTGTTACTGACTGGAAACCCTTTAAATAATTGATATTAAATTTTGGAGGGAGAAAGAAAAATGGTTCAAGAATGCGTAACTCAAGCTAGTGCCGTGCTTAGTGTGTTGGAATAAGAGTAGAGAGACACAGAGTCAAATTGCCTCACAACCCTAAAGTTTACCACGTAACCCTGTGGCTTTCTCAGTCTAGCCTGATTCTGGAAGATGCAGTGATTAAGTTATAATCTCTCAGTCCTGCAGCCAATCTGATCACACTTGTTGTTGTTTAGTCGTTTAGTCGTGTCCCACTCTTCGTGATCCCATGGACCAGAGCACGCCAGGCACTCCTGTCTTCCACTGCCTCCTGCAGTTTGGTCAAACTCATGCTGGTAGCTTCGAGAATACTGTCCAACCATCTTGTCCTCTGTCGTCCCCTTCTTCTTGTGCCCTCCATCTTTCCCAACATCAGGGTCTTTTCCAGGGAGTCTTCTCTTCTCATGAAGTGGCCAAAGTATTGGAGTCTCAGCTTCAGGATCTGTCTTTTCAGTGAGCACTCAGGGCTGATTTCTTTCAGAATGGATAGGTTTGATCTTCTTGCAGTTCATGGGACTCTCAAGAGTCTCCTCCAGCACCATAATTCAAAAACATTAATTCTTTGACGATCAGCCTTCTTTATGGTCCAGCTCTCACTTCCATACATCATTACTGGGAACACCATAGCTTTTACTATATGGACCTTTGTTGGCAAGGTGATGTCTCTGCTTTTTAAGATGCTATCTAGGTTTGTCATTGCTTTTCTCCCAAGAAAATCTGATCACACTATTGTATACCATTTCGAAGCCAAATCAGAATGCAAAAAAAGGATAACATTCTAAAAACAGGGGGAGTGGGGGGGTCACAGAGAAAACCCTTCAAAGAAAGACTATAAAGCCTCCTTCACTGTCACCACTGCAATCCGCCAATGTCTGCATGTTTGGTGGACACTGGAAGGAGGTTTACATCCATCCATTTGTATGCAGATAGATTTTTTCCCCAATGCCCACTGAATACACTGACAAGGGACTGTGGAGCAGTGGCAGAGGGCATGGCTACCTCATCTGGCCATGCAACCCCCTCCACACATTCTGCAAATGTATGGAAAGCTCATGTGAATTCAGATCTTAAGATCCTTGAAAGTTGGGAAGAAAATAAGTGTAACTAATAGGTTTTATCAAGGTGTATTCTGAAACGCTCTACCTGCAGAAGTGTTATAATGCTAACAAAAAAAGTCTGCTATTTCTGTATTATAATCTTTGTGCCACTCAAAGCACAAATGCCCTGGGCACTTGCTCAGCACCTACCTGCTTTGCTGTCTTTAAAAAATGCTTCTCAGTGTTTTAATGCTTTGGAGGTAGTCATTTATTTGAGTTCTCTTTGAAGGTTCCAGTTAGGTCCCCATTGTATTCAGTCTTTCTCATTTATTCTGTGGCTCAAACTGAAACAGAGATGAAATAAATAATCCAAAATATCTGCATTTTGATTATCACAGTTCCAGTATGACATGTTGAGAGCTACCATGTGTTGGAGTATATTTATTTATACAGTGACTCAGAAGAGCCAAAAACTGCAGAGATTAGTCACAAGCACTATTGTTGTTCAGTACAATTCTTCCTCATTTGAGGATTTCCTACTGGGCACTGTATAGCCTATCTCAGAACAGCTTTCCAAGGTTTTAATCAGTGATTGAAATAATCCCCTTCCAGAGAACTTCCGGGAAGGAAAATTGTGGAATAGTCATCAGCTGCTGACAGGAGTGTCAGCAGAGATCATTATGTGGTGATTTAGATAATCACAGTATAAATCTTGGTTACCAAAACTCCCTTTGAGATAAGGGAGTTCAGGGATAATCCTCACATGCTCAGAAGAAGACATTCATCATGCCAGAGACAAAAGTTTTGGGGAGTGGAGGAACGTCTCAAGCAAGAAACATTCATCAGCACCACAAATGACATAATAGCCCTTAATTCAGGTTGACAAACCCCCTTCTTTTAACTATTAGTAAGACTGGAAGTAAATACAAATTGGATTTTCTATCTGCCAGTTAATTAGCACCCAGAGCACAGGTGGGCTGCTGAGAGCCAAAAAAGCATTTGTTAGCAGGCTAGAAAATAAATCAAAAAGCCTAAATTAATTACTTGATTTTGAAAGAATGCAACTGATAAGAAAGCTTTGAACCTGCATTGAATCTCCATCTTGTAGATGCTGTGTTTGCTGTGAAACCGAAACCGAATTCTATCTGTGTGAGAAAGAAATGCGTTCTAAGTTCCTGGAAGTGGGGACTACCAAGGGGGACAGTAATAGAACTCAACATGGCAAAAAGAAAATTGAATGCTTCAGTGATTGTTGATATAATGCAAAACTCCTGGAGAAATAGCTGCCAGAATTAAGAGCTGAGAGGCGTAGAATTTTCTTAAAGTTCTCTGAGAGATTGGATCAGATATACTCCAGACTAAAGAATACACAGGACCTGTTATGATGTCACATCACACATGCATCACTGTTGCTTTCCAGCACTGTTTCCGTGTTCCCACAGCAGTGACAGTGGTGGGGCGGCAGAGTAGGGGTGCATGTCCATGGTCACAGTGGACATGCACCTTTGAGACAACTACTTGTGGCAATAGGCACCTAATATGCCTTCCCATTTGGTTTTGGTTTAAAGAGTTACAGATAACTGTGGGACTAAAGCTGGCAATGTCCCATTTAAAATCAGCCATCATGTACAACAGCTCTGTCAGTGTACTGATGACGTGCTTCAGAATTCCCATACTTTCATACAACATTTAACTCTGAATTCCAGGCTGTCATCTGACATTATGAGTTCAATTAATTTGCAAAATGCACCGGAAATGTCAGGCACTTGTAAATCTGTGTTAAAATGCCATTGCCATCTAACAATCCTTACTCCACTCCCAATACCTATAGTACGTTTTGGCAATGTTCGTGTCTTTGAAATGATTCTCAATACTCCTTTTTCTCCTGATCTGTAGCAATTATGTGAAAATCAAATTATATTGGTGCTATGGACTTGTTCAATAAAGTCAGTGTTCAGGAAGTTTGCTGTGATTTGTACAACTGCACTATTATGTATGAGTTGTTTTCTTTAAATTCATGCTGACTCTAATCTAGAGAAAATGTCCTGATACAATTTGAACCATTGGAAGAAGGTTCACCAGCAATTTATATTGACATTGGTGACTACTAGCCATGTTGTCTCTGCTCTGCCTCCACAGTCAGAAGCAGTAATTGTGATTTATTATTTATTAAATTTATATACCAACCTTCATCTGAGGATCACAGTGTGGTTTAAGGTAAGAAACACGAAAAGACATTACATAATAACAAAGAAAACAATTAGTTCATCACCAGTTTAAAAGGCCATATGTTGTTTAATAAGCCCAAGGCCTAAGTGAAGAGGAATGTTTTTACCTGGAACCTAAAGATATATAATAAAGTGTCAGACAAGCCTCCCTTGGAAGAGCATTCCACAAACGGGGGAACCACCACACAAAAGGCCCTGTTCTTGTGTTACCACCCTCCGGACTGCTTGTGGCGGGGGCATATAAAAAAGGGCCTCAGATGATGTTCACAAGGTCTGGGTCAGGTCATACGGGGAGAGGCAGTTCTTGTAGTATTATTATTTATTCAACTTATACACTGCCCTATACCCGGAGGTCTCAGGGTGGTTCAAAACATATAAAACCAAACCAAAAGCAATAATCCAATAACCCCCCCCCAAAAGTCCACATTCTAAAAGGGTGTTTGATGTTAATAAGATCAACCAAAGGCCTGGTTAAAACAGAATGTTTTTGCCTGGCGCCTAAAGGTGTATAATGAAGGCACCAGGCAAACTTCCCTGGGGAGTGCATTCCATAGACGGGGAGCCACTGCAGAAAAGGCCCATTCTCGTGTTGTGGTCCTGAGCTGTCTAATGTTTCTAAAAACCATTTGCTGGAAACTGCAGGGTCCCGTTAGGCTTTTCCATAGGCACGTGGTTAGCCACTGTGAGAACAGCAGGGCCAGCCTACCACAGGTGCAGCAGATCTGGCCTTCTCTCATTGGCCCTGCTCCTTGAGTGTGAAGGAATTCCAGGCTGGAATGTGCTTGCTGAGATGTTGTATGAGTGTACAACAGTTAACCCCACTTGCTTTGTCTCTAAAGGCAGTGGGTGACGTCTTCTTAAAACTTAAAATAAAGCAAAATGCCATGCTTAATTCTTTTAGTAAAAAAAAGTTCTGACCAGTCGTGACCTAATGAAAATGTTCTATAGCAGAGTATTTTGGCACATCACCAAGCTCATTTTCAGAAATGAGACAAGCTTGGCTTTGGTAACACCTGCATGGGAAGCCACCTGGGAGATTCGGTAGACTGAGCTCTGATGAGAGATAATGGCATACATATGTAAAGAAACAGCTAAACTAATCAACAGCAACCATGTTACTCAGAAGAGAAAATACAATTAGAAATCTATAAATGCTGATCACTTGTGGTAAACTTGCCAGTTCCTAAAGATTTTTCTAAATACCATTTAGGGTGTGCTACAAAAGTCAAAATTGTTAATATACAAAGTTAAGTGCAGTTGCTACTAATAATACATTCCTCGCTGGCTGTTGCTCAGCAGGACACAGCCGTATGTGCTGAAAGACCACTTCATTGCAATATCTTGAGCTGCATGAGGTAATTAATTTACAGTATCCAAGTTAATGAAATCTTTTTTGAAAGATTAGCACAGTGTGCTTTAAAATTTAAACACCACATGCAGGTTTGAAGCATGAATGGGTTTTGTCACCACATCACAAAAGCCCTCAAATGCTCCCCCCTCCAAGGAAGGGTTTGGCCATGTGCGATGTCAGCAGTGGCAATGGATTACATATGCAGATGCGTGCTATTGAAAGATAAGTTATCAAATGTTGTGATTGTGTGAAGTTGTCTTAGCTAGTACAACATTAGCTGAGAATTTATTGTGCTATACAACTTGTGAGGGAACTACTATTTAACATGATGGGTTTTTGGAAGATGCCTGTGTGTGAATTTGTTTTATGTGTGTAGATCAGTGTACGCTTACCAACGCACAGTCTTTGCAGTAAGGCTCTGTTCTGATGGCGTAAGTAGTCACTATGAACCGGTAGATTCTTATCTGCTGCAGCCTTCATCCACCTTCACAGCTGTTGTAATATGCCACTTGTTCTCCCATTGTGGACTTCTTGGATCATTCTTTGTCTAGCTCCTTCCCTTTGCCTTTACCGCCTTGGGTGACCCTGCTGGGAATACAAAATTCCCGATGGCTTTGCTCACAAGGGTCATTGGAATGTGCAAGTCCACTCACCATGACAAGGTGATGATCCAGCGAGTAGCATAACATGATAAGAGTTTGCTGGATCAGGTCAAAGGGCCATTTTGTCCACTAAGATGCTCTCAGGTGGCCAACCAGATTCCCACGAGAAGTTTGTAAGCAGGACCTGAGCCCAGCTGCACTCTCCTGAGGTTCCCAGCAACTGGTTTTCCAAGGCATATTGCCTCTGGCAGTGGAGAAAGAGCATAGCAATTGTGCCTGGTAGCAACTCTCAGTCTTATCCTTCATTAATCTATCAAATCCTCTTTAAAAGTAAACCAAGTTCTAATGTTCAAGTTGAACTAGCTCCTCAGCTTAGCTATGCACTGAGTGAAGAAGAAGAGGAGGAGGAGGAGGAGTTTGGATTTGATATCCCTCTTTATCATTACCCGAAGGAGTCTCAAAGTGTCTAACATTCCCCTTTCCCTTCCTCCCCCACAAGAAACACTCTGTGAGGTGAGTGGGGCTGAGAGACTTCAAAGAAGTGTGACTAGCCCAAGGTCACCCAGCAGCTGCATGTGGAGGAGCGGAGACGCGAACCCGGTTCACCAGATTACGAGTCCACCGCTCTTAACCACTACACCACGAAGTACTTCCTTTGTCATCCTGAATCTTCTAACATTCAGTTTCATTGGATGTCCCTGAGTTTTAGCATTATGGGAGGGGAGGAAAAACTTTTCTCTATCCACTTTTTGCACACCTTTGTCAGATCCGCTCCCCTGTAACAGAGCCAGTCAATCTTTCGACTCCTTAGAGGAGGTCCTGCTGGTTGTGCCGCAGCTGGAAGATTTTCATCTAGTGACAACACAGAAGCAGCCTTTTTTCTTTTTTTGCAGTGGGCCTTTTCAAATCATCTTAGAACACCCTCCCCTATCCAGTCTGAGAAACACCAGTAGTTAGATGCCCATTAAAAATGTATCTGTTGGTTCAGGCATTTCTCAATTGTTATATTTTTATTGGCCTGCTCAATTATTTGTTTTAGTATTTTGATTCTGGATTTTCCTTGACAGAATATATTTTCATTTTATTTACAGTATTTTATTTAATAAAACTTAGACACCATTTGATTAAAAAGTAAAACACCTCAAATGGTTTATTTGTCCATCCCTCCCTTGTTCTCTTCGAATGGCAATGGCGCCCATCTGAGAGGTGCCAGAACTGAGTTCCGGTGAATTCCTCCTGAAAAAAAGCCTTTGTTTTTGTTTACTTTGTAAGCTGTTTAGATATTTTCTTATATTAGAGCAATTAAGCAATCTATGAATTAATTAAATACATACATACATATTTGGATTGATTCACATGACTATTTGAGGAAAGACTTTAGATCAGTGGTAGAGCACATGCTTTGAATGTAGAATGCCCCAAGTTCAATTAGCATAATCTCTAAGGAGGGCTGGGAAAGGCTCCTATTTGAAACCACAGAGAGTCACTGGCAGACAGTGTCAACAGTACTGAGCTAGATGAGCCAGTGATTTGGTAGAAGGCTAGTTTAGAAGTCAAACCATAACCTGGATTTTGGATGGTCCAAATCTGTCGCCAGCACAGACAACCATGTTGCACACTACTTCAGATTACCCTAATGCAGACTGAAATATGGTTTTATACAATAAAGATTTTTACTCATGATAAAAAAATAGGTTGCGGTATGGGTTAGGGAACCTCAAAAATAGTATTGTGAGATAGTAACATTTATAAAGACTTGCTATTTTTCACTTATTCAAGCCTCTAAGGGCTAACTGGGGATAGAGGGTGAGGAAGATCAGCTCTTATTAAGAATGAACATTGCCAATTGGCCCTTGTGACTAAAGTGCTTTAAAAGCTCTTGCACAATTTTGTAGGGTGGGTTGTTTTTTGGGAGGGTTCTTCTTCATCACTCTCATAAAAAAAATCAAGTAGTTATGCGGCTAGATGTTTTATCTATTTTAATTAAATGAAGAAATTCATATCAAAACAACCAAAATTCAGAAGTGATCAGCTTTGTTAGACAGTTTAAAATCAAATTTTAAGGACTTTTCAAGCTAATTCTGAATGTTGTGAGTGCATGCACACACACACACAAATATAGTTGTTGATTTATTGGGATGGTACTTACTGGTGTAGAGTACCATCTTTTTTTGCTGTACATGACACCGATTTTGTGCTGGCAACCATGACTCTTTTATTTTATCATATCAAGAAAGCACTAAACAATTGTATGTGCGATGGGAGACTGGAACAGACATATAACCATCTATGAACTTTCCACCTTTTTTCTTTCATGGAACTCAACAATATACATGTGGTTCCCAGGTAATCATCTATACAGGCACTGACTTGGCCCAGACCTGGTTAGCTTCAGCAAGGTGGTAGCCTAATCTGTCTTCATGACATATTCTGGAGTAGTTGTTGTATGTTATTTTGTTGTTCATTTTGGTTCTGAGAATTGGGACATTATTGCCAGTAAAAACCTGCCTGAGATGGAAGTGAATGGCACTTGTTTCCATATAAGAATGGTTAGAAGCAGGTGTTGGGCTGGTAACTTCCTAAGGCCACATCATGAGTCAATGATAGAGGTTGGATTTGACCCAGTCTCTTAGCCACTGGACCATAGTCACCCTTGTTTCTCTTTTTTTGCACTCTCTTCCCTTTAAATTTAGCAAGGGAATTGATCCCAATAAACAGGAATAATAAATTAATATGATGGTTATGGTGAATTTTTGAAAGAGAAAATCATGTCTTCAAATTATTCATTGTGCTTGTCAGGGTCACTGCAGAGCACTTGTTGCAGAATTCAAAGGAGTTTCTTGAAATACAAGTAAACAATACCACGGCCAAGATTGGTAGCTTAATGATGAATAGAAGAAAAAAACTCATGACAGAGTTGAAATGAAGCAAGTTAGGAGATGCAATGTGCTCCCAGAGAGGTCTTGCTCCACAAATCACTGTCTACACCATTGCTGTCCAATCCAAGCCCAGATGCTGCATGCATACCAAGTGTCAGAGGATGGAGCCTGTACTCAGGTAGGATGTCAGCAGCAGAGGATGGATGGATGCAAACTGGCCAGTGAAGTGTCACAGATAACAAGCACAGAGAGACTGTTAAGGTCAGCTGGAAGAAGCAGACAGTACACAGGTAGCAGGTGTTAGACAGATGGCTATGCTCTTCAGAGAAAACAAAGCACCAAAATGAGATTGCTATTTTTGTCTATGAATGCACATCCACAAAAGGGCTTTTGCTGTCATCTAATGTACAGATTTCTATTACCTATTATAGGTCAGATGTGCATGAATGTATTGTATTCGTATTGAAGTTATTCAATAATGAATATTCAATATTAAATGAATGTATTCGTATTGAAGGTAGTTGCAATCCGAATGGCAATTGCAGATTAAATATTTGCCCAAAATTGGTGCAATAAAAGCATGAATAAAACAACAATTCAAACAAACAAAGAAAGCTTTAAGGAAAAAAGGTGGAAAGCTCAATAATAAAACAACTTCATATGCCATCTTTTTTATTCTTCTTGTAGGCAAAAATCTGCAATAAACTGCTGGGCAGGAGTGTTTGTGTGTGTGTGTTTGTGTGTACACAACTATTTTGGTCCAATTGAGTTGTTGTTGAGTAGAAAAAGGAGGTATGTATCCTCAAGGCTGTGGATACGGTTCAACATTTTCATCCAACTGCAAGATAGGTGGGAAGGGACATAATACAGAGATCACATACAGTGGTGCCTCGCAAGACGAAATTAATTCGTTCCGCGAGTTTTTTCGTCTAGCGAATTTTTCGTCTTGCGAAGCACGAAATCCCATAGGAATGCATTGAAATTCAATTAATGCGTTCCTATGGTCAAAAAAAGTCCAATCAAAGCCAAATTTGGTACAACAAGAGTTTATTAACTGCTCTTTAAAGTCACACATACTTTAAAGAGCATATCAAAATTGAAGGAACAATAAATTAAGTTTCTAAACATGACAGGAAAACATTTAAAAATCAAAAAGGGTACATTACATTTTCTAAGACTCTGGGGGACCACTCGAAGAAGGTTCCTCTTCCACTCTTTGCTTCTTGCTGAGGAACCTGTCCATGGTCTGCTGCTTCATCCGCCTTTTCAGCAGCTCCCTGAGAGGCGACATGACCGTCGTATCAAAAATGTTCGCTTGGTCATGTGCCACGTGCTTGTCAGGGTGGTGCCGCTCTGCAAAGCCTGCACCTCATTCCACTTCTGGCAAATGTCCCTCAGTTCTTTGGAGGACAGCCGTTCCTCAGTTGCTTCCTCCTCTTCCAGCGAGGCCTGCTCCTGCGCAACCTCTGACTGCAGTTCAACCAGCTCCTGGGTGGTCAGCTCGTGGTCGTGCTCCTCCACCAGCTCGCAGACGTCCTCCTCTGTGACCTCCAGGCCCATGGTCCTCCCCAAGGCAACAATGTCCTGCACCACTGTCGACTCTGGTGCATCAGAGTCACTTGGTGCCACACAGTCCGGCCACAGGCTGCGCCAAGCGCAATTCAAATTCCTCTGGCTGATCCCCTTCCAGGCCGTGGTGATCATCTTCAAGCAGGTGACGATGTCGAAGTGGTCCTTCCAGAATTCCCGCAGGGTGATGGTGGTGCAATCAGTCACCTCGAAGCATCGCCTGAAAAGCTCCTTGGTGTAGAGTTTCTTGAAATTGGCGATGACCTGCTGATCCATCGGCTGGAGCAGTGGCGTGGTGTTAGGCGGCAGGAACATGATGTTGATGAAGCTGAACTCCTCCAACAAGTCCACCTCAAGGCCTTTAGGATGAGCAGGAGCATTGTCCATCAGAAGCAAAGCCTTCAGCGGCAGGTCGTTGTCCAGCAGGTACTGTTTGACAGCAGGGCCAAAGGCAAGATTGACCCAGTCCACAAACAGCACACGTGTGACCCAAGCCTTGCTGTTGGATCGCCACATGACACTCAGCCGCTCCTTGTCGACCTTGTGTTTCTTGAAGGCCCGTGGGTTCTCCGAGTGGTACACCAGCAGGGGCTTGATCTTCAGGTCGCCGCTTGCGTTGGCACAGAAGAGCAGGGTCAGACGGTCCTTCATGGGCTTGTGGCCAGGCAACTTGGCCTCCTCCTGTGTGATGAAAGTCCTTTGGGCATCCTCTTCCAAAACAGCCCGGTCTCGTCGCAGTTGAAGACCTGCTGTGGAACGTAGCCCTCCGTCTTCACAACCTCCAGGAACTCCAAGGCAAAGTCTTCAGCCGCAGGAACATCAGAACTGGCAGCCTCTCCATGCCTGACCACGCTGTGGATTCCGGATCTTGCCTTGAACCGGGCCAAACCAGCCTCTGCTTGCCTTGAAGACTTCTGGTTCGGCCGAGGTTCCTGGCTGTTCCCGGATGAGGTCTGCGTGCAAGGCCTTGGCCTTCTCACAAATCACGGCCTCAGTCACTGTGTCCCCTGCACGCTGCTTCTCTTCTATCCAGATGAGGAGCAACTTCTCGACCTCCTCCAGAACAGCTGGGCGGTTCTTCACGATCCTGGTGACTCCCTTGGCTGCATCAGTCGCAAGGATCTTCTCCCTCATCTTCAGGATGGTGCCGATGGTCGATGGGTTCCTGCCGTACTCCCTGGCGAGGTCCGTCACACGCATTCCACCGTCGTGCTTCCGGATGATCTCCTTCTTCATCTCCAGCGTCACCTTCTCCTTCTTCCTCTTGCCGGCCTTCGCAGCAGCAGCAGTCTTCTTGGGTCCCATGGCAGCACAGCTGTTACCTTTGTAAAACTCAGAAAAAGAAAAAAAAAATCAGCAATTCAAACCCACAACCAAGTCCTTGAATTCCAAACACCCAACCCAAAATCCAAAACCCCCAAAAAAAGTTTTAAAAGTTTAACTTACGAAATGGCTGCAAATCACCAAAGTCTTCAAAATCCTCAAATGGCTGCAAAAGAAGTTTTGGGAAAGCTTTAAAAATCACCAAAGTCTTCAAAAACCTCAACTGTTCCCCCAGCCCCTCCCCAACTGTTGCAAACCCCTCCCCAACTGTTGCAAACCCCTCCTCAACTGTTCCCCCAGCCACCCAGCACACAGAAATTCAAAACCCAGAAAATTTTTTTAAAAAAAACAACATGGCCCAATGGTCACAGAAAACCATAAAAATTCAAAAAAAAAACCACACAAGCTCCCAGATTCCTGCAAACCCCTCCTCAACTGTTCCCCCAGCCACCCAGCACACAGAAATTCAAAACCCAGAAAATTTTTCAAAAAACAACAACATGGCCCAATGGTTACAGAAAACCATAAAAATTCAAAAAAAAAACCACACAAGCTCCCAGATTCCTGCAAACCCCTCCTCAACTGTTCCCCCAGCCAACCAGCACACAGAAATTCAAAACCCAAAAATTTTTCAAAAAACAACAACATGGCCCAATGGTTACAGAAAACCATAAAAATTCAAAAAAAACCACACAAGCTCCCAGATTCCTGCAAACCCCTCCTCAACTGTTCCCCAGCCACCCAGCACACAGAAATTCAAAACCCAGAAAATTTTTCAAAAAAAACAACATGGCCCAATGGTTACAGAAAACCATAAAAATTCAAAAAACCACACAAGCTCCCAGATTCTTGCAAACACCTCCCCAGCTGGTCCCCCATCCACCCAGCACACAGAAATTTAAAACCCAGAAATTTTTTTCAAAAAAAAACAACATGGCCCAATGGTCACAAAAAAATCATAAAAATTCAAAAAAAAGCACACAAGCTCCCAGATTCCTGCAAACCCCTCCTCAACTGTTCCCCCAGCCACCCAGCACACAGAAATTCAAAACCCAGAAATTTTTTTTCAAAAAACAACAACATGGCCCAATGTTCACACAAAATCATAAAAATTCAAAAAAAAGCACACAAGCTCCCAGATTCTTGCAAACACCTCCCCAGCTGTTCCCCATCCACCCAGCACACAGAAATTTAAAACCCAGAAATTTTTTTCAAAAAAAACAACATGGCCCAATGGTCACAAAAACCATAAAAATTCAAAAAAATCACACAATCACCCAGATTGCTGCAAAACCCTCCCCAGCAGTTACCCCATCCAACCAGCACAAAGAAATTTAAAACCCAGAAACTTTTTTCAAAAAAAAAAAAACTTGGCCCATTGTTAAAAAAAAATCATAAAAATTCAAAAAAAAGCACACAAGCTCCCAGATTCTTGCAAACACCTCCCCAGCTGTTCCCCCATCCACCCAGCACACAGAAATTTAAAACCCAGAAATTTTTTTCAAAAAAAAAAACATGGCCCAATGGTCACAAAAATCATAAAAATTCAAAAAAAGCACACAAGCTCCCAGATTCTTGCAAACACCTCCCCAGCTGTTCCCCATCCACCCAGCCCACAGAAATTCCAAAATTCAAAGCCAGATTGTTTTGAAAAAAAAATAAACATGGCCCAATGGTCACAGAAAATCATAAAAATGCAGAAAAAACCACACAAGCTCCCAGATTCTTGCAAACCTCTCCCCAACACCAAGTCCTTGAATTCTAAACACCCCAACCCAAAATCCCAAAACCCCAAAAAAGTTTTAAAAGTTCAACTTACCAAACAGCTGTAGAAGAAGTTTTGGAAAAGCTTCAAAAATCCAGCAAACTCTTTAAAAAGCTCAGAAAGGCCACCACACCGCGTGCAATGTGTTGCTCCTCGAGGTCAAGTCGCAACTGCACCTCTTCCAGCAATGCACCCTGGGTTTTAACGGTTTTACGAAAAGGAAACAAACTTGCAAGACGTTTTCGTCTTGCGAAGCAAGCCCATAGGGACATTCGTCTTGCGAAGCAACTCGAAAACGAAAAAACCTTTCGTCTTGCGAGTTTTTCGTCTTGCGAGGCACCACTGTAGATGCTTTGTGTATAGAAGAGCCTCTGTGCACTCAGTTCTGACCTTACAAGGAAACCATGCACAAAAAGTCCCTGCTTCCATATGGGTGTTTCCCTTTGCATGTGAGACACTTGTTTCTAGTTAAAAATCAACAAAGACCCTTTTTCCCTCAATGAAACTGAAAGCAGCAGCTGCTGAATAGTCAACCTGGCAGCCTGTTGCAGATATGAGTTTTTTGGTTCAGCTGTCATATATTGACCCAGAAACATCTTGAATATTATTTAAAAAAATAAAAAATGCATGAACATTCATACTTTCAAAACTAATGTAAACACCACTTCCTTGTGCATTGTTCTAATGTTGTTTATCCATGTATAATTCCTCTTTACACATCATTCTTTCCAGCTATCATAGTTTGGGCAGCGTTAGTGTAATAAAATATTTGGGAGATGTAAGGGTGGGAAATGAATTTGATTTTGTTGGCATTTTAATGAGAAGCTACCCAATTCATACTCATACTTCTCCAACTAAGACGTGACCCAAAACACAATTATGCATCAAAATCCACACTTACTCTAATTGTGTGATGCAGTTCTCCAAACAAAAAGTATGTACGTAATGCTAATTTAGGGATCCCATGAGCACCACTGCATACTATGCCAATCCTTGGCCAATGCGCTAATACTAACTGGTCCCCCAAATCAGGATTTGAATTTTCTCAGCAGCAATGAAATAAGAAGGAGCAGAGCCTAAACAGTTGTAACCACAGACTCAAAAAAGTGATTTAAATGATTCCACTGATTTATTGGGTGCACAGAGCTTGATGGTATTATGAAACGTAAGAGGGGAAATTGCATATGAAAATAAAGCATCTTAAGGCAATACTATATAAATTGCACAAACTAATTAATTGTTTAATGATATGAAGTTATAAATAACACTGACAAAGCAAGCTAACAGAGCATCAGAGAGAAGTAAGGGAGTAAATTGGGCCCCTGCTGCATCAATGGTTCTCAGGATAGGGAACCTTGGCACACTCCACCACTGGCTTCCAAAATATGTTCTACTTTCTCTTTTGTTTTGTCTTCATGGATGCTTTCCTGCTCCTCTTATCATCAGGATCACAACATCTCAGCCAACGGCAAAACCTAGCATGAAGTTCCAAGCAGTTTACACAGAAATTACACAGAGATGGCAACTAGCCACCCATTTTAATCCTTCATGACTGCTCTAGGTAAAAGGTAAAGGTAAAGGACCCCTGGACAGTTAAGTCCAGTCAAAGGCGACTATGGGGTTGCAGTGCTCATCTCGCTTTCAGGCCAAGGGAGCCAGTGTTTGTCCACAGACAGCTTTCCGGGTCATGTGGCCAGCATGACTAAACTGCTTCTGGCACAATGAAACACCATGACAGAAACCAAAGCACATGGCAACGTCATTTATCATGGCTGCTCTGCTGTGCTAGAAACCTACCAGAACTGCTTGGTATGAAGGCCTAACAGAGCCCAGATTAACACAGAGAATAAAAATGCATTTATTAGGCTAAACTGTGCATTAAATGCATATATTAGTGAAAATCACACAAAAATGCATTCTGTTAAGGACACTTGAAAAAATCCAACTTTCCATTTTCACAGGGATTGGGAATGGTTCTGACATATACTTTACAGTACACATGCCTTATATATCATTTCCTTCTTATAGGGAACAAATTCACCTCAAAAACCCATTAAACACTGGGGGGAAATGTGGTTATAGATTTGTTTTGAGCTAGCAAATCTTTCACTATGCCATCTGCCATTTTAAGAGTGGTTCACTATGTAAATGTAGGTATGGAAAGTACATTTATTTAACAGCATTTTGTGTAACATGGTATCTGGATATAGAAACTAGCTAAATGGTTTCTTTTTATTGCAAGAAAATATGTGGGGAAGGGAAAAACTAGAAAGGAATAAAAAGGAACCGGCACAAAAGCAGACAAGCTGGCCATGGCATTGTGGACAAATACATGCTTGGGACTATAAAACAAGTCCAGAGCTTCTGCAAAAATAATTATAGGTGACATTTTAAGTTTACAGGATGTGACCAAGGACACCAATGAATTTTAAATGAAAGGATCGAGAATTCTTTAGAAATGACCGTCAAAGATATAGCAGCCGGAAAATGGTTCATTGTTAGTTGCTTTTAATAGTATCTTGGAAAGGTCAAAAATCAATCAGTTTGTTACATGAAATAATCTGAAGTGGAGTTTCATATTATAAGGCAAGCTCCATTGTAAGGAATGACACAGTTTGGGGCAAGGCAGTTAAACAATTGGGATGATCCAGAAGGAAACAAGTACTGAGTTGAAGTCAATGACATTATATAAAGGTGAAAAAATTATGCCTGAAGAAAGGTTTAAACCATTTGGTCATTGTAAGGTTTCGGAGGATATTTACTTGTTAACTTGTTTTCTTGCTGTTCTTTCTCTAGATCACAAAAAGACTCCCTGTGCCATTGTCCCACTGGTCAAGATCCTAGGCTTCAGTATTCGTTTCCAGAAAGAGAATGGTCCTATTTGGGCATGTTAACCCTCCTTCACACATGGAGACTCTCAACAGAAGACTGAAAATAGGAACACCAGCAATATCAAGATGTTAATAGTTTTTAATGTCCACTGCTTCTTTTAAAATAAAATAATATTATTGAATTTAGAAAAATATAAATAGATATATATATTTTGCAAGTGCATTTGTGTATTCAAAAATCTCAGACTTGCGCATCATGGACAGGTGAGAATGTGTATGAAAAGAGATAATGAAACTGTGGCAAGGCTGGTAAAGTGTGTTCTGTTGCCCACGGAAAGCTGTGAGGAGGCTGTAAATTAAGTAACAACTTTCGTGATGGCTTGCAAACTAAATTTTAATATTCCAACAAAATAAATAAACATATACCAAAAAATAGAGTTTTGCTGGTATAAGGGGGGGAAAGGTTTATACTGCATCAGAAATGTAGAAAGTGTGATAAAATTTAAGGCCCAATTGAAGAGGCAATCCCTCTTTTACAGACAACCAAGTGATCATAGATTAAACCATAGCACGTCTCCTAATCAACAGGCCTTTCACCCAACATCAAACTGACATTGGCTTGATTTCATGCTCTGTATATTCTTTATGACAGTAGGTAAGAGGAAGAATTAGGAGCAGGGGCATGTATCAAAATATGTCAGAGGTTAGAGTTCCTTCAATAAACACCTAGCAGTTCCCATTAATGTCACTTGAAAGACATTTGTGCACAAAAGTATATAGTGAAAAGATGTGAGGGGGGAAAATGAAAGGCAGAGAGGAGTTGTTCCTGCAGCTGAATTGGTTTCCCTAGCTAAGCCATGCACAGCAGGTAGAATGTCTTAATTTGGCTTTGGGGGACATTGCAAATGGCTTACTCCATTGCCGCATGTGCTTTCACACTTACATTTAGTTGGTGGAACCACATGAGCAAGATATATGATGGCAATATCACTCTACTTGGGCTTTGGGTGAAGCTCATATAATAAGGCACAATATTCCCAGTCCTGCCATGCCCACTTGGCTCTTTCAGACATTCCTAGAGTGTTTGTGAGAACAATCTACAGAAAAAAGTATATTTCACAAAGCTATGGGGTACATGAATGGGACCAGAACCCCATTTTGTTCAGCCCACATTGTATGTGAACTGATCTAATTTGCACCTCACACACTAGTACACAGACATAACATAATAATCCTTTGGATTTCACTCTTTAAAAAACAAAGCTATTTTTTTAATTACATACTGAGCAAATAAGCTAAATTGACACCAATGAAAAAAGAGAAGAACCAGGAGTGGTAAATGAGGAGCAATAAATCAGTCTATTTCTGGTGTTGCATATACATTTTCTTATGAGTTTCGCCTTTTCAAAAGAACTGCAATAACTATACATCGAAGCATGCTCCTCCTACCTATGAAATTTTGCAACTTATCATACTAGTTATTGACTTTCTTAAAATCTATATTATATTCTGATGCTTGATTCTTTGTAATTATCTCTTCCATCTTTACTTAACATCAACAACTTCCTATGACTAGTGCAGGAGCATTCTTAGACAAAACTAGTGTCATTTTCTGTGTTCAGATTAGTTATTGGCATCTTGCAGCATTGTGCCATGGATAGAGAGTGGTGAAACACTGAAGAGGTAATTGCTACTATTTTCAAGGGTTTGGGCATTCAATTCTCAATTAAAATTAGAGTGTACTGTTCATCTGAATCCCCCTAGGTTGCCTTGAAAAACTTCACTGAACATGCTTGGATTAGGGGAGCAGGTGCTAACTGGAGTTTTATGGTTAATGTCAGTTTCATTGCTCTTTATGTCCCAAGACATAAATCCCTTGGTTGCAAACATGTTAAGTACTATTTTTCTTCTTGGGGGAAAACCCAAAGTGCTAGCTATAGTACTCATCCATATTCATGCACATGATAAATGGAAAACATTCCATTCCTAAGCAACAATGCCATTAATGTCTACACAATTTCATTTTAGGGATTTTTACCCCCAAAAGGTGCAAAACATAATCATAGATATAATTAACAGCAATGGAAATTGATGGTGCTAAAGACAGCAGCATAATCAATAAAGGGAGTGAACTAATGAAGCAGAGCTTCACTATTCTAGGTATTGTGTAAGTGTAAGGAGAGAAAGAAGATACTCTTGCATCACAGATCACTCTAGTCTCATTATCGGACAATACAGGAAAGGTAGTCAATGAAGCAAACAATGGGAGGGGCACAAAGCATGCAGTACAGGTGCTTCTTAATATCTCAGGCTTTGGCCATTCAA